TGGGCAGCAGGGTGGGTGGGTGTGGATGGGTAGGACTGGGGGGGGACCAGGGACACCAGGAGGAGAGGTATGCCAGGATGGGCATGGGCAGGATGAGGGGGACAGGGGACGTCAGGACAGGCAAAGGAAGGACCAGGGACAGTGGGGCCGGGTGAGGATCCAGGAAGACTGGGGGCTTGGGGGGGGGCAGGGACGCTGGGACGGACACGGGTGGGTCCAGGAGGACCCGTGCCCTGGGCTCACCCCGTCCCTGCGGCGTCACTCACGGCCGGGCAGCGGGGCCGCTGGCGTTGGCGCGGGACCTGCTGGCCGAGGGCGGGGAGCCCTTCTTTGTCCTCAACAGCGACGTGATCTGCGAGTTCCCCTTCGCGGCGCTGGCCCGTTTCCACCAGCAGCACGGCGGCGAGGGCTCGCTGGTGGTGACCCGCGTGGAGGAGCCAGCCAAGTACGGCGTGGTGGTGAGCGAGGCTGACACCGGCCGCATCTGCCGCTTCGTGGAGAAACCGCGCGTCTTCGTGTCCAACAAGATCAACGCCGGGCTCTACATCTTCAGCCCCGGCATCCTGCAACGCATCCAGGTACGGGCCGGGGGCTGGGCTGGGCCGGGCTGGGGGTCTGGGCCCCCTGCTGAGCCCCGTGCCCCGTCCCCACAGCTGCGCCCCACCTCCATCGAGAAGGAGATCTTCCCAGCCATGGCGCAGGACGGACAGCTCTACGCGATGGAGCTGCAGGGTAAGGCCCCGCGCACGGTGCAGGCAGCATGGGGGGGGGGTCTTGCCTGCACTGCCGCCCCCACGGTGGGGGCTGTCACTGCAGCTCTGTCCCCACAGGCTTCTGGATGGACATCGGGCAGCCAAAGGACTTCCTTACGGGCATGTGCATGTACCTGCAGGCGCTGCGGGCCCAGCACCCCGAGAAGCTGCATTCGGGGCCCGGTGTCGTAGGGAATGTGCTGGTGGTAAGTGCCAGCCCCCAGCACGCTGGCCCCGGGCACGCGTCACGGGCTCTCTGCGTCCTCCCACCGCTGTCCTCGCTGCCGTCCTCAAGCTGTCCCCTCCTGTCCCCGCGCTGGCTGAGTGGCGCAGGCCGTGCCGAGAGCTCTGGCTGCCCTCCCGGCCCCGGCACAGCCCCTCTTCCTTCCAGGACCCCAGTGCCAAGATCGGGGCAAACTGCGTCATCGGCCCCAACGTGACGATCGGGGCCGGCGTGGTGGTGGAGGACGGGGTACGCATCAAACGCTGCACTGTGCTGAAGGGGGCCCGCATCCGCTCCCACTCGTGGCTGGAGTCCTGCATCGTGGGCTGGAGCTGCTCCGTGGGGCAGTGGGTGAGGATGTGGGTGCCCTCGCAGGGGAATTGGGGCTCAGCTCTTGCCCTCCCACCTCCTCAGGCTGCGGCCGAAGGGATGGAGGGATAGGAGCAGGAGCGTGGCACTGAGCCCTGAGCCAGGGCAGGTGTGATAGGGCCTCTCTGGGGCAGGTGCGCATGGAGAACGTGACAGTGCTGGGCGAGGATGTCATCGTCAACGACGAGCTCTACCTCAACGGGGCCAACGTGCTGCCGCACAAGTCCATTGCCGAGTCCGTGCCAGAGCCGCGCATCATCATGTAGCAGCCCCTGGTGGGCTCTGCACTCCTGGCTCTGCTTGGATTAAATATTTATATTTCCATCTACTGCTGAGCGTCATCTGAGCATGGCCCAAATGCTGGGTCGCTCACCAGGGCTGGCCTGGCTTCCCCTCCCCGTGTCTCATAGCACCACATAAGGAAGAATAATTTAATGCTGCATTTCATGAAGTCAGCCCCCAGCCAGGGGCAAGTTAACAGCCCGAATGCCCAGCCCGGCCCCCCTGACCCGGCCCCAGTGCTGCCACATGTTCCCAGTGCTGCCGCACAGCTGAGGCCTCGGGCTTCCCTCCCTGAGAATGGCCTGTGGGGCAGAGAGGCTGCTGCGGCCCAGGCGCTGGGTGAGGGGGATGCTGGCCCCAGAGCCTGGCATTGGGCCTCCCCCCGCCGCCCCGCCAGCCTCTCCCTCCCTGCAGCCCCCTGCCCCATGCTGCAGCCCTGTGCTGGGTCCTGGCGCTATGTGCGAGGGTCCCGCAGCCCTGGGCAGGGCAAACATTTGGGGAGAAGCCAGTGTGTGGCGGGGGGCCCATCCTGCTCAGCTGGGGGAGCCCGTGGTGCGGGGCTGGGTGCTACGAGCTGGCTGGCTTGGTGAAGTCGTCCACCCCCGTGATGGTGGCCTTGCAGAAGAAGCAGTCCTTGTTGTTCATCAGGTGCTGGTTGATGCAGGCTCTGGGACAGAGGAGGAAAGAGCATGAGCTCCCCCCAGCACCAGTAGCCCTGGTGGGGTCGCGCATACGAGCTACTCACTTGCACGATTTGTGGGAGCAGGGTCTGAAGATGGCCGAGATGGGATGTGCATAGCAGATGGGGCACAGGTCTTCCTCGCTGGTGGGCTGTGTGGAGGGGTACCAGGCTGTTAGTGGTGGCAGCAAAAACCCCATGTCCCAGGACAGCTGTGCTGGGGAGCTGGGGCTGCTGCCGAGCATGGGGACCGGGCTGGGGGGACTCACCAGAGTGGTGGCAGCTGCCTGTTTGGACTCCTCACTCAGGTGGTTCAGCATCTTGTCCACCTTTGCCAGCTCCTCTGCACTGATGTACTCGGTGTCTGTGGGGGAAAGCCGTGTGTGTGGGATGAATGTGACCCTTGGGCTGCCCTGAGGCTGCTGGGTGATGCACTGGGGGCTGCAGCTGCCCTTGGGGACCAGCTAGGACAGGGAGCCTGGTGCTGGGGACAGGGATCCCCATGCTGGGGGCAGCGAGCTGGATGTTGGGCAACGCAAAGGGAAAAAAACTGCTGCCAAAAGCAGGCACTGGACACAGCTCCATCCCAAGTGCCACCACTGGGGGACAGCGGGGGGAGCCATGGCCCCTTGTCCCCAAGGCTAAGGGGGCTGGGACATGTTGCAGGGGACACAGACGCCAGCAGCCCTGTCCCCCCCATCCCAGCTGTGGCCAGGTGGCGAGCACAGCCCAGCTCCCAGTGCAGTGCCGACACTTACAGGTGTGCAGAGAGAAATGGCGCTTGTCTGTGGCCGGGGCGGCAGCTGCCAGGGCTGAGGGCTCGGCGTGGCCCAGCAGGTACTGGATGGAGCGCAGCTGGAAGCAGGGGTCTGCCAGCAGCACCGCCGTTGCACGCTCGGCCCTGCAAAGGGACACGGTCAGGCCTCTGACCTAGTACAACCCACCCCGCGGTCACAGGACCACCTGGCTGCGTCCCCAGCCGGTGGTCCGTCCCTCCACTCCTGGCAGCGTGGAGAAAACATGCTGAAATGCAGCCAAAGGGTAGCAACCCGCCTCCTCTTCCGCCACCTCCCCCCTGCTCAGAGGCTCCGGGGATCGATACGGTGCATTAGCACTTGCTGAGGCTGCAGCCCTCATGCACCAGTGCCCAGCTGAGCCCGGGGAGCTGCAGGGCGGCTGAAGCAGCCAGCACTACCCTCATTTCACAGCACTGCAAGGGTAAAAGGAGAGATACCACGCAGCGGCCTCATGCCAAGGGCTACGGCCCCCCCCCCCCGCACCAAGGGGACGGTTCAAGGTGTCCCCAGGGCGAGCGGGTGCACCCACAAGGCAGGAGGGAGCACTCTCTCCCTGGCTTCAAGCATCAGTGGTAACAGCCAGGACAGATAAAGGGCACCTTAGCGAGCATCTCCATCAGGCATCGGGGCTGTGGCCTGTTCACGGCCCTTGGCAAGGAGCAGAGCTGGCTCCGTGGCCGGCCCTGGGGCAACCACCATCACCCCAGCGGCAGGAGGCAAGCAGGGGCGAGGGAGGAGAAGCCCGGCGGCGCAGGCTGAGCCTGGGCCGGGGTGCAGGGGGTTAACGGGCCCTTGATGCGCGGCAGCCGCAGCCGCCAAATTAGCTTTTTGCTGCCCTAATGGAAACCAATTCCCCAGCCCAGCTTTCCGCTCCTCACTAAGGCGCCCGGGCTCTGGGTAATGACATTCCTGCGCGTCCTTCACCCTGTGGCCACCCCCTCCCCGCTGGCAGCACCCCTCTCTGCCGTGGGGACCCCGCCGGCCCTGCTCCTCCCATGGCTGGAGGTGCTGGGGGGTCCCTGCCAGCTCATGCAGGGGGTGGTGAGGATGAGAGCAGCAGGAAGGACTAGGTCTGGGTGCTAAGCAGCGAGGGGGGGGTGACGACCGCCATCCCCGCTCCCAGCCTGGGTGCAGGATTGGACACGAGGGGCTCACAGAGGTGACAGCGGGGCGGGTTTATTCCAGCATCCTCCCAGCGGCTGGGCAGTCGCGGCGCAGCCGGCGTGGCTGCGTTATGGATTACAGCCGGTCAAGGTTGCCGTTCTCCAGCGGGAGGGATGGCGGCTGCGCACCGGTAAGGCCGGAGGGTCGGCGAAGTGGCCCTGAGCACCCCTGGGGACAAAAGACCACGCAGGGCCGGTGCCAGCTGCGCATCGCCCTGCCCACTCGCAGGACGGCTAGGGAGGGCCACGGCCACGGCCACCACCGTGGCCACCACTCCCCACGCCGGGACCAATGGGATCCCGTCCGGCCCACACGCCGCACACCGCCAGCGCGTAAATAGAGGCAGAAGTGGGACTGCATTCCTGCAGCGAGCCCGGCTCTCCAGGAGATGCTCACCAGGAGGGAGCCAGACGCCGGACAGGGCTCACCAGGGAGTGGAGCATGGGGATGTGCCGTGGCAGCGCCGAGCCGTGAGACACTTCGCGCTGCAGGAATGCATGGCTCCGGGAGGCAGCGAGGCATTCGCCAAGCCCGAAACACAGCCCTGAAACGCTGGAGCGTCTCAGCCCCCTGATGCCGGACACCGGCTCCCATCCGCCTCCCTGCAACCGGGTGCCGGACAGCCCACAGCCGGCCAGAGCACAGGTACGCGGCAGCCTCGCGTGAGATGCGGCAGAGCTGGGCAGGGTGATGCTGTCCTTTAACTCTCCTCAAGCCCCACAGCTGGAATCGGGATTCTCCTTTGTGGGGTGCGAAGGGGTGTCTGCGGATGCTTTGTAGAGCCCCCCCCTCAAAAGACAGCACAGGGGGAGACCGGGGAGGACCGCGACACTTTTTCTCTTGTGTTTTGTCAAACCTGGCTGTGCTGCCGGGCTGCCCCGAGGCTCCTGCCTGGCACAATGTCCCAGCAGGTGCCTGCAGACCCGCTCTGGCCATGGGTGGTGAAGGTGCTGCTGCTGCTCCAGCTGTACGCCCACGGCCGTGCTCCCCACGCCGCCTCGCTGCCGCGCAGCTGCCCCACCGCTTGCATCTGCACCTCCGACCTGCTAAGCTGCAGCCGGCAGACGCTGCAGCGTGTGCCCCGGGCACTGCCGCCCACCGCCACCACGCTGGACCTCAGCCACAACGCCCTCACCCAGCTCCATGACCGCTGGCTGGCCGCCCTCCCGCACCTCGAGGCCCTCCACATCAGCCACAACCAGATTAAGGACCTTTCTCCGCAGGCTTTCCACAATGCCTCCTACCTGCGGCACCTCGACATGTCCTCCAACCACTTGCACGCTGTCAAGACGCACTACTTCGACGCGCTGGTGAGCTTGGAGGAGCTGCTGCTCTACAACAACCGCATCACGCGAGTGGATGAAAATGCTTTCACCAAGCTGAGTGGCCTGCGGAAAGTCTACCTGAGCTGGAACAACCTGACCACCTTCCCCTTCCACTCGGTGCAGGGGCTGGGAAACTACAGCCTCCGCACGCTGGACCTCTCCTCCAACAGCCTGAGCAGCATCCCCGTGGATGAGCTGGCAGCTCTGCCCGAACACATCAGGAACGGCTTGTACCTGCACAACAACCCTATCCAGTGCAGCTGCCCGCTCTACCTGATGCTCCAGCGCTGGAAGCAGCGAGGTTTCAGCTCTGTGAAGGATTTCTTTGAGGAACACACCTGCAAGGTGTCTGACAACGTGCCCCGGTCCCTGATCAAGTTCCTCAAATACAGCCACATGTTCAAGAACTGCTCGGCAGGCCCCGAAGACACGCACCCTGTGCCCTTCCCCGTGATGGTGGGCCAGACCCTCCTGCTCGCCTGCAACACCAGCCTGCCAGCCGCGGCCACCACCTACATGTGGATCTCCCCTCACCATGAGCCCATCAAACACCCGGGGAACAGCAACCGCTCCTTGGAGGTCTACCGCAATGGCAGCCTGAAGATCGCTGCGGCCAAGCCCTGGCACTCAGGGGTCTACGTGGGCTTGGCCATCAACAGCCCCCACAATTTCAGCAGGCTGTGCGAAGTCAACGTGACGGTCCACTACTCCAAGCCAGACGGGGAGACCTTCAGCACTGGCCTCACGACCCTGCTGGGGTGCATTGTGAGCCTGCTGCTCGTGCTCATGTACTTGTACCTCACGCCCTGCCGTTGCCTGAGCTGCTGCAAGAAGCCGGCTCCTCTCAGCCCTCCACAGGAGTGCAGTGCCCAGTCCTCCATCCTCAGCACCACTCCCCCTGCCACCGACGGGCCAAATCGCAAGGTCAGCGCCAACAAGCACGTGGTCTTCCTTGAGCCCGTCAGGGAGACGCAGAATGGCAAGATCCGCCTGGCCCTCGGCGAGGACTTCCCCGACCCCAAGCATCCCAAGGTCCTGCAGCTCAAGTCAGACTCGGAGTCCATCAGCTCCGTCTTTTCGGACACCCCCATTGTGTCGTAGCGAGGCAGAGCTGGGAGCAGAGCCAGGGCCTCCTGAGAGCTGTTCTCCTCCATCACTGCTAGAAGCAGCAGGATTATGGGGCACCCTGAATTCTCGGCTTGACCATGACCCATGAGGGGGATCGGCATCACCCACAACTGCTTCAGCCGTGAGCTCCTGGTGGGTGTTGGGCTGGGGCACGTTGGTGCCTGGCAAGAGGTCCTTGCGTAAACCACTGGCAACAGCCTCGTTAGCACAAGGGTACTGCTGATGAACCCGGCACGCCTGAGAAACCCCCACTTCATTTGGGCAGCCAAACTCCCTAACAGTGACACTGGGGATGGTGATCTGCCATGTCCCCGGGCATGCGAGACCCAATCTAGCACCACCACCGCAGACCCCCAGGCCAAGGAATAGCCGTGCCAAGTGGGGCATTCTCCTCGCTCACGCCGGGGCCCCCGGGGATGGCGATGCCACCGTCCTCTCCCAGTCCACGCCAGTCCCCATCAGCATGCCATGGTTGGGAGCAGGCAGAGTGTGATCTTGTTGCAAGGGCTGGGGGGGGGTGGGTGTACGTGCTCCTTCCCCAAACACGGCTATGCAGGAGGGATGGAGCTCGGTGCCTGACCAGCCATGCAGCCAAACAAACATTACAAGCTTTTGCTTCCTGAGAAGCTGTAAATAGTCAAGGCAGGATTAGGTGATGTGATACAGCGCCCCGGCCCACATTGCTCAGAGCTCCCCGTGCCACCAAGGACGATGAGGTCTCAGATGCACCACCCTCCTTCGCTGCTTCTCCTTGAGGCGGACAAATGCGCTGCTAAAGCACAGCTATGTAGGCAGTAATCTAATAAGCCTATCGATAAATGTGAGTAATCCTCTCCTCTCTTGGGTCGTAATTCTCTAGTTACATTGGAATAAAAAAAAAAATGCCTATTTTTTTAAGCTCATGCTGGGCTGAGTGTCTCCTTGCCCTTGCAGGGCAGCAACGTGCAACCACCCTGCAACCCATGGGTGCAGCACTGGGAGTCTGGGGGAGCCCCAAATTCCCACTGGCCTGGCACACAGAGCCAGGTGATTTGCACTGGGCTCGCAGCCTCTGTTCCCATCAAACAGTGTTATGGTGGCCTTGGCGAGGGGGTTAAATGTGCCGACACAGAGCTGGTGGCCTGGGGTTTGTATGAGAGGAGCATCCAGTGGCTTGTTCCTGGGAGGGCAAGTCTCCAAAGTGATGCCTGGGAGCTGGGGAGGGAGCAGCACCAACTGACACAAGGGCACATCCAGCCCCCAAAAGGGACGAGCAGGATTTAGATGCAGGGTAGAGGCACATGGGGGAGACCCCCTTGGGATTGGGCTTGTCCTGTCTTTGGCTGAGTCCCGGTCCCCTCTGCAGACACAGCCCCCACCTCACTGGATAGCTGCGCTGCTTTCTCCAGCACCCAGCCCTTGCCTCACCCTGGCATAGAGAGGGGCTCTGCCCCCTCATAACGCCTGCCTGATCCCACAGAGGGATAAGGGTGTCCCCTCATCTGCCAGCCACCATCACCCCGCTCGCAGCAGGCGCATGTGGCTGTCACCTGCAGTACAGGGGATGCTGAGGCCACCCTGCCAGCAGAAGCACAGCTCAGACACGACCTGGGCAGCACAAACGGGGACCAGGACCCTTTGCAGACCTGCCCCCCAACCCACAGCCCCCCATGGCTGTGCACCCTGGCCCCAAGAGCTGCTGGCAGCCCTGCGACTGGTGGAAGGGGAAGGTCCCTGCGGCATTGGGACAGCACTAGCACCCATCCTTTCAACTTTTTCAGCCGGGAAACAAGCAGCTTGTTTCCCAGCAAAAAGTCAACCATGCCCAAAGCACTTTTCAGAAACCCCCCACCCATCCAAAGAGGGGAGAGCATTTGGGAGAGCAGCTATCCCAAGACAACCACAGCCTCGCAGCACCCCTCCTGACACCGACCTTGTGCGCAGCTTCATGCGATACGTGCCCCGCTGCTGCGCACCCTGCGGCTGCTGCTCGGTGGCTGGTGAAGGCGACGGGATGCGGAGCGACAGGCCCCGCCGGCCTGCGCCCTCGCTCCTCACGCGCCCGCCGCTGCCGGCCCTGTCGCCTCGCATTAGTGCAGCGTTCCTGATGAGCCCGGGATGCTGAGCTGGTCATGCTGGGGTGCTGTCAGGGGGTGATGAGGTGCTTCGGTGTCGGACGGATAGGTGAGTGGCACCCTGCCCCTTGAGGATGGAGCTGAGGCAATGCCATCCCCTGGCTTTGCACCCAGGCAGGGATCTCATGGGAAGGATGGTTTGAATTTGCCCTGGGAACGTCTGGGAAAGAGAAGAGACCCAGCTGAGAGGGCCCAGGTCCAAACCCTATGAGGGCACTGCCCCGAGCGTGGCCCATGCCTGCCAAGATGGTGCCGAGCCTGTGCCAGAGGACATGCCGCATCTACGCATTGTGTCTTCCTCCAAAAGGAAAAGTGAAGTGCTGCTCCGCGCTCCAGCACTCGGAGTGGGTGTCTACCCACCCGCTGCTCTTCTGTTGCCATCCTTGTAGGTCTCCTTGCAAACCCTTCCTCTGTCCGGTGCCAACATCAGCCTCCCAGGCATTAGCGCTCCTGCAAACCTGCATCCTCAGCTGAGGCTAATGACTGAAGCTCGGGGAAAGCTCAGGCCAATTGGAGTGTAAGAGAAGCTCCTGAGGGCCTCTCTGGGAGCACACCAGCCTGGAGAAGCCCAGGAGAGCTCTTCTAGGCTGGCTGCAATTCTCCTATCCCTGCAGGAAGGCTGAGCCCCACTACACCGGGGACAGCATATCTGAGGTTTGTATCGATGCTGCCCGCAAGGGCTCCCTGCCGCCTTTACCCAGGAAAATCCTGCTGCTGCGTTTCACACCTTTCTGATACTCCGAAAGGACCCCACACCACATTGCTGCTCCAACAAGCAAGGCAAGGCAGTTTGAACTGTCGTAGCAGTTCATTAAGCAGCCTGAAAGGCAAATCATCTCAGCAAGGAAAAACATAGCCAGGAGCACAGCCTCCCTGACAGGCAGGAGTTGGGAAACATAATGGATGGTCCCCGAGGAATACTCAGCAGCCTCTCTGCACCATTACAGCCCCGGCTCGCTGCCAAACCTGCCTCCTGCTCCTTGACTCCACAGGGTAAAGTAATGGGTCAGCACAAAGCACGGCGTCCCCGGCATGCAAAGACCTGTGCCTGCGCACGTGGGGATAAGGACTAGCTTTGGGGACCAGCCTCCAATGCTGACTCCTGTCTCCCCTGGCACTTCACATCTCAGCCAGGACAACGTGGGCACGCTGAATGCCAGTCCCTTCCTGTCCTTCTGCTGCTGGGGCTGGACACACGATGTACATGGTTGGACCTGGATCCTTTCCTTATGATGCTCACAGTTTTCCAAAGAGCTCGAAGCAGCGAAGCCTGGTTGCTGGCCAGCACAACACCTGCTCCTGCCTCCCAGCAAGTGCCCAACAGCCCCAGGGGGCCAGGAGATCCCAGCCTTGGCAGTCCCACTGCTCAGGACACAGTGTTTGGAGCTAGCAGCTTGTAAAAACTTGAAGATTGGTAAGGCCAGACTCCTTTTTAAACCGTGAAACCCAGGTCTGACCTAGTTATTCCTCTGTGCTCTGGCTCACACTCAGCCTGATATGTTACGCACTGCAAGACTTGAGTACCACCCATTTTCTGAGTTTTTAGAGCAAGGTAACAAGGACTCCTTTGGACTAAGTGGTCCATGAAATGTCTATTCCTGCACCTCCTTCCACCACAGCACTCTCATCAATATGTGCTGAAGGAGCATTAGTGTTTAAGTGATCAGTAATTAGACTGCAGAGAATCACCAGGTCCAGCGGGGACCAGCCAAATCCCCACGGTCCCAGCAGTGCTCAAGCATGCAGGTGGGTGGCCAGGCTGAGTTTAGGAAGCTGCAGACTGGGATCTTCTGTGACTTTTCCAGTGGAGGTGACCCCAACACCATCTAGCAATTGAACAAGAGTCTGCTTAGTCTGCCTTCCCCACCTGGCCTCGTGCCTCCTCACTTTCCAGCTCACCAACATGTTACTTCTGCCCAGGGAAACTCTCCGTCTCCTCCCTCCTGCCAGTCCGTCCCTCTGCTCCCATCTGTACTCCGCAAAGGAGAGGAGTGTGGAGATCCCCCAGAATTACCCCAGCATCACGTCAGCCCAGTGCTGCTCCTCCTGGCAGGTCCCACTGGCTCATGCTCAGCATCCCACTGGCACAGCATGGTTGTTTCTGGCCCAGGATCCCCGTCCTGTGCTCTGCTGGCTGGTACCACCGTGTTCCTGGTGACTACAGTGCTCTTCCCTCTGTCTTCTCCATCTTTCAGGCAGAAGTCCCTGGGAGATGCACCTTGAAGGCTGCTTAGGTCTTTTCTTGTACAGTTGCACTGCAGGCAAGTTCGCTGGCTCCTTGCATGTGCCCTAATCCTCCAGACTCACACTGAGAGCATCAGCTGCGGGCAGGGCTGGGGAACACACTGCCCAGCCTCACTCCCCCCTGTCTCTGAGGGGATGGTGTGCATGGGGCAAGCCTGTGGAGCAGACTGGTGGCCAAACCCTGGCACAACACAGGTCACCTCCGCTCTGGGATGGCTGCTCACTTTCCACAACGTCTGTTCCAACCTATATGCCCAGTCCTAATTACAATGTGCCCTCACACGCAGGGGACCAACAGCCTCACCTTCAGGCCTCACCCCTTCCCCCGCCGCCCTCTCTTGCCAGGATCCTTACACAAGCTCTGGCCAACACTTGCTCCATTAGCTCACTCCAAAGGAGGCTTAATAGAAAATCTGCTCAATTATTTAGCAGACAAACGGGGGGATGATACCAGCTGAAGGCAGCCAGGGTCTCTGGCACGGACCCAACGATTCAGCCCAACTCCTGGCTCAGCCTGCCAGATCCTGCTTTCCCTCTCCTCCCCACAAAACCAAGGCTCAGACATTAGGGCCTGGCAAACAGGCAGCACACGGGCATCCCTGTCTCCTCAGCCCTGCCAGGCACTGAGCTTCCCTGCAATGAAGGTGCTGCCCAACTGCTGTCAGACCCGAGGGCTGGGAGGGGGCAGCACGTCAGGAGGCCCGAGCAGTCCCACAACAACACTGCAGAGGCCAAAATAGTTTTAAACCAAGGAGCTGTTGCCTGCTCCAGTGCCAGGCTGCCCCGCTCTCACCTGCGGACAAGGTTTAGCTCCCTCCCGGCGAGCCCTCGAGGGACAGGCAGCTGCTCTGCTGGGAACTAAAAGACCCTCTGCTGAGGGACCCCAACTTGAGCTAGCAGCTCCCCACCTCTGCCCTGCACGCCCCTGTTTGCAAAGTTCATTACATCCAGCGAGGGAGCCAAGCCATGAAATTCCCAGGCCCTCCCTGCTACAAAGATCAGTAAGCCCGGACGAGGTGGGCACTGAAGCTTTGGTTCACCACAAGCAGCACCAGCCATCCTGCCAGACCTGACAAGGAAATGCGTTTCTTCTCTCTCAAAAGCACAGCCCGCTCCATCCAGGGACTAAGATGTACGATGTATCAACTGTCTCATCACATCCCAGCCTGGGCAATGTTCCCTTTTCTTGTGCTTAATGGCTCTGTTTGATGCCAGGAGTCCGTAGCAAGAGGACTTGATGCCTGGCTGAGTGTCCTGTGCTGGGTGAGGAGCAGCTGAGGCATCCGACTGCATCCTGATAACGTGGCTGGATGAGTCGGCAGGGCCCTGGCTTTCCTTACTCCCACCCTTCCCCACTGGAATGTTTTGGCCCCATAAACGGGACTTCACTCCTCCACTCCCGGATGAACCTGTCCTCTCTGTCCCAGGGCAAAGCTTGCAGTACCTTCCAACCAAGTGCCTAGCACAGCGTTGGCTCGCTGGGTTAGAGGCAACCAGGAAAAACACAGCCAAGCCAAGGAAGTCACCTGAGGTCCTATCCCCTGTCCTCATCCTCTGGGACAGAGCCTCCTTGCAGGGAACCAGTCAGGGTAACAGCTAGTGTCCCAGGTAATTCCCACAGAGAACTTCCTACGTGCAAATGTGGGTTGGATAATCTCTCTCTGTTAATGGTTTCTGGCAGTCTGGGAGTTACCAGATGGCACCTAGAAGAGATTTCTACCTGCTTCCAGCAGAGTGCTTCCGAGGAAGGAAAAAAGCTGTCCTGTTATCCTGCTCACTGCACTGAGAGGAAGGGAAAAAGGAAAAAGGAAAGCTGTCACCTCTTGAGTTCATATAAACGGGTCTGCTCTGGAAAGCCTGGTTACATATGGGATCCTTTAAATTTCTTCAGTTACTCCTTGCAGTAACACAACCCATGGCAATCATCTCCCATGGGAGTGTACAGACCCAAAGAAGGTTTAAATTCTCCTTTTCCATTCCACGGACCATCCTCTTACTCATGTGCCTGGAGACAGATGCTTCTCATCACCCTGCTCCAGGCCAGCTGTTGTTGACCTGCACCACCTCCCTGGTTTTTGAGTGACTGTGGGAGGAGATCCTCATGGGGCTCTGCTCACCCCAGCTGCACCTCCCAGTCTTCAGCACCGTGTAGCGATGGTGCCAAGAGACTTGCACACAGGATCAAACCAGGACTGAACCCTCGAGGAACGCAAAGGCAGAAGAAAAGCCTCTGCATTTCCTCTCATACCTGCTGTTTTTCTCCATCCCATCCCTGTTTGCTGTTTTTCAATGTGCTTGCATGGAACAGAACCACTCTGTAAGTGGGGTACAACACTCCCACCCCTGTCCTCAATTCACAGTGCTGCAAAGAGAGTGGGTGGCTCGGTTTTCCCTTCCATGTGAGGTACTCTGCCTGCGGCCATGCTGATCTCTACCATCAGGCTGCCCATCCCCTCTGCTTGGGTAGTGGTAGAAGGTCTCCAAGCCACCAGCCTCGATTCTTTTGTCTTGATTGACCTCAATGTCCCCCCTGAAACGTTTGCTTGCCTTTTATAAATCAGTGACGTATCAAATCTCAGATTTAGTGCAGGGCTTTGCAAAGTCACATAGAAGCATTCTGTTTTATAGACATTTTTCCCTGGGCTTCCTCCTGTTACCACCTTGCGCTTTTCCTGCTCAGCTAGGTCCCCCATAAGGACATGATGCTTTTCTCGCATCATTTCCCCGTTTTGTATTTATTTCTGCTTTCCAGTGCCCAAGAACGCGACTACAAAGCCCCTGAAGATCAGTCAGAGACTGGCAGCTTCCCCACCACACACCACAGGGTACGGCACCTCTGGTTGGTGACTGCGCAGCCTGCTGCTGGCCAAGGCATGGAGGATGCTGTTGGCATCAGGGGACAGTGCCGCTTGGTTAGTACAGCCCCTTTGACACTGGCTGCCCAGGTTTCACTAACCCCAAGCACAGCTGGCTTTTCAGGTAAAGGAGACACAGTTTGCAAGCTTTTTTACTCCCCAGGACTCCCTGCAGGCTAGGAAGGATGTGATTGTCATCACACTACCATCTTGCCAGTGCTCTTTGGCATTTGCTAAACTGAGGGCCAGAGAAAGAGCTTTATCCCTTCCCCTCTTTGAGTCTACAAGTGACTTGGCCCGAGACAGATGTTCAAGGGACAGGGAGCCAGGGAAGAACTTCTCAGCCTGCCTGGCATGCAGGGAACTGCTTTATCACCTCCCTGCTTCCCTCCAGGAAGAAATGTCTAGTTGTGGCATCAAATTCATGATGTTTGCCCTTTCCACAGAGCAGGATTCTGGGCGTGAGCAAAATCCACCCCTGTTCACAGTCCCAAAAGGCCACTGATCAATGACCTTGTGCTAAGCTCTTGGCACTGTCACACTCGGGGCTGTGCGACTGGTGCAACAGCCATGGGAGGCAGGATATAATTAGATATATTTGTGTACATCTTTGAGTCCTTGAGAAAAGAAGCTGAAAGACTGGCTGCAGGGCTGAGCCGCTTGGCCAGATGGGGCTCTGCTCTCTGCAAAGCCAGAGACTATCATGTTCTCCAAACGTGAAAACAAGCAGGATGTGCAGTGCAGACAGAAGAGCCCCATCTCCTACAGCACCCTACAGGGTACAGTGGCCGGGCAAGAGACCCATGAATGACACTGAGAGAGAGCAAAGGCAGGGCTGCAGCGTTTATCAGAATAAGCCTATTTGCAGGACTCAGTACAAGCAGGCACAGACACACATAAATGACCAGGTCAGCTGTGGCTTTGCTCAGCCACCACCAGTGCTGTCTCTCTGGTTACCATAAAGACAAGATTTGCTTCATCTGAAAATCAGCATCACCTAAGTGCCTGGACAGGATTTGTCTCACCCTTGTGACACATGTCTGGGAAGCCAGAGAGCTCTGCACACATTTTGATGCCTTCCTGAGATGGGTTCAGAGTGAAGGAGCTTTAATGAACTCCCTTCCACCCATCGCTGTGTGCTGCAGCACTTCGCCTGCATCACCACATCAGCACAGCTCTTTTATATGTGGCACTCACAACCTCTGACAGCAGCTGTCCTGGAATGCCAGACCCCATTCCAAGGAGGAAGGTGCACATATGCTGTCGGTACAGCACCTCATAGCCACCTCTCACGAGGGCTTTCCTGCACCACAGGAAGGAGTTTTGCACCCAGCAGTAGCACTGGGATGCAGCTGCTGCAGGGACATGTGGCTCTTCGGCTTCTGCCTGCTCCATGCGCATCTACCTCACTTCGCTTTGGTCCCCACGCACCCGCATCACTCCTGCAACACCACCCATGGCACTGACTACTGCAGCGCCCAAAGCAATGTCACATGCGGTGACTCCATGCTTTGGAAGTCAAAAGCCACTCACCCCTGAACATCAGTGTCCACAAGCAGCCGGACCAGTATCCCTGTCACAGCCACAAGGATTGGGTAATGGTCCACACTCTCCAGCCCTATGGAAGCAAAAGAGAAAGATAGAGCCACTGCCACCTCATGACAGGCAGAGCAGGGCTGCACTGCTATTTCCAGACTTGGTGGCAGAGCAGTCCAGAAGGTAGGCACAATGACTTGGGTTCTCTGGTGGGGCCATGGGTTTCAGGAAGGACAGAGGAGTCTTCCCCACTAATGCAAACCCCAGACTCAGGCACTGCTCTCATGATGGAGCTCCCCTGCCTCTTCCAAACCTCAAGAGGAGAAGGTGGTCTGTCCCCTCCTAAGCAGGCATGAAAATCCAGCTGCTGTACAGGAAATATAGGATGTCCATAACACAGCACCTGGAGCTAGTCTCTGCTAACAGGCCCAACTCAGCTGCCCACGGTCACCTCCACAAGGAAGACAGCTGATGTTGCTGAGAACGGCTTCCCCCAGCAATTCAGTGCACACTTTACTTGATGCAGAGCACAGCAAACAAGCCTGCTACCTAAACTGCAATCTGTCTAGGGCTTTGAGCCTTTCAAACACCTCCCACCTAACCTGTGTCAGCTCAGTGTCTAGCAAAACACCTCCCCACCCAAGCACAACACGGCTGCCACTTCCACGGCAGACAGCCAGACCTTATGCATCAGCTGCCTCGTGAAGACAGGGATCCTGGAGGGAACCAGAGCTGTTGGGCAGACAGAGGCTAAGGGCCTGCCTAGGAAGAGCACCAACGCTCAAATCCACCTGGAGGATTTACATGTCTTCTGAAGACAGCATTTCTGCGCCAGTCGACAAGACCAGACTGGCTTCGCAGCCAGGGATGTGGCAGGCTAGAAGTCTGATCCCATATGCCCCTGCATCAACCTTCAGTACAAGCCATCCATCGCTTCCCAAGGGCATGCCTCCAGCATGTTTTCAACAGAGAGGGACAAAGAATTAATACATGGACTCACCTGGCAGACGGAGGTTGACCACTCTGTCAAACAAGTTCCTTTCAGCTGTCACACGGTTCAGCACCTGGTTCAAGAGCTGTGTAGGGAAAAGCAGAGTGGGTTTGTATTTTCTGGATGGGCCTTCCTGTGAGCAGCATCCGAAGAGCATACTTTGGGGCAGCATGTCCTTATAGTTTGGGCTCGGTCCCTGGGAGCTGGTGGATGCACAGAGGGAGGCTCACAGCACAGACCTAGCTTGGCCGTGGCACAGAAGGAGGTGGCACCACACCACAGTGGTTGTACCAGACCCAAACCTCCCAGGGAAGAGTCAGTCTGAGGCCAAGACACCTGAATCTCAGCATCTTCCACCTAAATCTGAATCCCACCTACAGAAGCCAAGCTACTTCTGTGGATAAAAGCTCTTGGCAAGCAGCAGCTACCATCCCTCGGACAGCCACAGCCTAGGAAGAGCAGGCTGGCAGCTGTGGGCAACAGCAGTGTCAGTGGGGTGAAGCACAGTCCAGGTCCTGCCCTGCCTGGAGCTGGCAGCAGGACAGACCTACCAGCCCTGAAGCACGGGATGAGCACAGAAAACAGTCTGCTTCTCTGCTTGACAGAGCATCACCACAGGCAAGGATTTCTGCCTATGACCAGCACAAAAGGAATCAACTGTAAAGACACTTAATTAGCCGCATTTAGCTCTCACCCAAACTCCCAGCGGGATGAGCAGGTTTGACACAACCACTGCAAGCTGAGCACTGTCTCTCAGATGTAGCATTCCTCTTCCCGTCACCCTCATGCGTGAAGAGCAGAACACTGCACCCCTCTGTGGGCACGTTCAGCAGTGGGGCACGGCTTCATAGCAGCACCAGGATGCGAGGGGATTGCTGTAGCACCCTGCTCTCTGCCGCCTGTTTCCCAGCTTGCCTAAAGCACCTGCTAAGGGTCCCTCACTTTCCTCCTCGCACAGTGATCCCTACAGAAATGCCAGGATCCCAGGCTGAGAACTTCCCTCACGATTGCTGTACTAGACCCCACTACTAGTCTTGCTTTGACTCATCTGCTCATAGCCCCAAGCCTCAACCCTTAGATCAACCCAACCCTTGTGGTATAGGTAAGGTATATATGACTGCTCCCCACCAGGCTGGCTCATACAAGAGCAGCCTGTCCTCAGGGCTTTCCAGAGTTGCTCATGCTTTAGAACAGCAACTAATTTACTGGAGCCTAAGGGGTGTTGTGGGTTGGAACAGGGCTGTTCCAGTCACCTCATCAGGGAAGTGGAGACATTTGGTACCATATTCTAGGACTGAGGGATAAAGGACCAAGACACCTGCCCAAACATTGGGGCATGTTCCCTGTGAAGCCAGTTATACTCTCCACAGCTCTTTGCTCAGGTGTACTACACCTCCTCTCCAGATTTCATGGCACTCCTTGTCACAGGAGAATTCAGCATTTACTGACTGGAAGAAACTGGCTATAGTCCCTCTGAAGGAAGATTTAAGTAGCCATCGTCCTCCCTCCCAGTAGAGGTAGAAAGCAGCTGTGGCCAGACTAGTTGCAAAGGAGGGGAGCAGCTGACAGGTGGAGATTTTAGGGAGCACCACTTGTTCTGCAGCAGCTGGGTTTGCTGTAGAAGCTTTAAGTACTACAGCATTTGCAGCAGGAGCCCCCACTTCACAGCACATCTGGAGAGAGGGCAGAGGGGCCCCCACGCCCCTTCAGAGGATGCTTCTTCACACCCCACTAAAGGACAATACCTGGGCAAGCCTCCGAAGGAGCAGCTCTGATGACGGGCGATTCCAGTCGAGAAAGATCTCTGGTGCCAGCGTAACAGTCATTTCCAGCACCCTGAGCAAGCTTACTGAGAGGTCAAAGCAGGTCGCGCACACTTTCAGCTGGCGGCTGTCCACGAAGTTCCTCTCCAAGCGCTCTGCTGCCTGTTGGATCTGCCAAGCAATGGAGACAGCTTAACAAGGTGCCCCTTCCCAAAAGGAGGGCTGTGACCCCCAGCCCAGCTCAGCTCCCATGCATGCCAGGGAATCACTACACGCCCAGCCCCGAGAGTTGTGTCTTGAACCTCGCTGCATGTAGGACATGGGCACTCATCAAGTGCCAGACGCCGCAGTCCCGGGTGGCACACTCACCTCCTGAATCATGCCAATGAACTCGGAGAAAGCCCAGTTCAGCTGGTTAAGGACGCTATTGAGGAAGCTGGGGGCCAGGTCGCGGTCGCTGCGGAGCAGGTCTGCCATGTGCCGCTGCAGCAAGGTGGAGGGACATGGCTCTGAAACCAGACAGCAACAGCGTCACTGGCCTGGTCCTGGAGCGGCCGTGGGTGCGGGGCGAGGGCAGGCTGGGAGACAGGTCCTGGGCTTGGTAAGTGTTGGCTTGAGTCTTACAGTAAGCAGAGATGGCAGGGCACTGGGAGCCAGGGTGCAAGGACTATTCTGAGCAGCGATCTCGCCTGTCGGGCCTCCAAGCACTTTTTTGCAATGCCAGCCTGAATTAACCAGGGAAGAGCCCTGCGTGCTCGCTGCTGTCCATGTGCACAGGAGTGCTGCCCTGCAGCTTGGCATCCCTCCCGCTCAGATCTGCAGAGGCCCACAGTCAGCTCAGCGCTAATTGCTCCTGATACCACTGTGGCAGCAGCTGCCCGGAGCCAGCATGGTCATCCCCAGCCTCACGTGGCCGTGCCTGTCTGCCTGCATCTGAGGAACAAGGTACCTAGTAAATCCCACTCCTGAGAGGCTTCTGCATGGAGCTGGGGCTGGCTCTGCCCTTGGAAGGCTCAGGCAGAGCCGCCCGTGTTCCCCAGCCAGGTTCAGCCCAAGCACACACATGTCCTTGCTGTACGTGCCATCTTGCCTCTGGGCTTTTTCACTATCAAGAGCCCAGGTGGGAGCAAACCCAGCAGCAGCCAGGAAACACAGTCAGGGCTGTGTGGGGCACTGGTCCCCACGGACAGGCAGGGAAAGCAAGGGGGCACAAATGGGGTGGATGGTTCTCACTAGCAGAAGGACCCACTGTCAGTGAGAGGCTCACAAAAGCATTCAACACTATGAGGGAAGGGTACCAGAGTTCAAACCACAGGCTAAAATTCAGTGCTTGGAGAAAGAAACTTGAGCAGATTTACCAAATATAGGGAAAACCCCCAATCTACCTACTTTTCTCTTTACTAGAAGCTATTAGTAAGTAAAAGCAGATGCAAACTCTGGCAGCACCAGCACTGCGGTGCCCAGAGGAACAAGCTGTGCTGTGACTGCAGGTCTTTGGGGTGGCAGCCTGCTCAAAAGGCCACCATGGGCAAAGGAAACACAGGGTGACCTCCATCACATCCCTAGAGATGGAGAAGTAAGGCACAACTACAAGCAGATTGCTAGCTGGGATTAGCAAAGCCAGAGAGGGATGGCAGGAGACCATCAGCTCAAACGGGAACAGGATAAATTATTCTGTAAATACCCACTAGCAAGTGCAATCAGCTTCTGTTGTTATGGAGGACACATGCTGATGTCTCAGTGCATAATCCCTCTGGGCAGGCCAGTGCCCTGGCTTTGATCCTGCCTAAAAGCACATCTTTGGGAGGGATTTCATCACAACAAATGTCTTTGATGTCCTACTCCCACCCGCAAGTACTTTCCCAGCCCTTGGCTACACGTGGCTCAGGGACTGCACAAGCCAGATGTCCTTTTTATGTATTTAGTGGTCCTCAGTGGGTTTCTTGCTCAGTGTCCCCTGAAACTGTGTAAGCCTTTAGCATTGAACATGTCCTGGAGCAACATTTCACAGCTCAGTTGTGTGCGGCGGGAGGAATTCGGATTTGAGCTTGGATCCTACTCGCTTTATTTGATATTTATTCTCTACAACCCCCTCTTTCTGCTGGGTGACACAGCAAGATGCTGCTCTCCAGTCACTTCTTCCAGCTAGCCATGATTTGAGACCTTTATGATAGTCTTTCAAATGGGAACGGCCCCAGCCTGTGCAGTTTCTCATACAGGAACTGTCACATCTTTGTCCCCTTTGCCATCCCTCCCTGAGCCTTGCCGGTTCTCCCAGATTTTCTTTGGAGGTGGAATCAGAAGCGTACGCAGCATCCAAACCACAAGCGCGTGGCAGATTTGCACAAAGGCATAACGTGGTTTTGGTTTTGTTCTGTTTTCCTTTCCTCATAATTGCTGTTGTGTAATTTGTTCCTTTGACTAGGCATCAAGCTGGTATTTTCCAAAAGAATACAATAGGATGACAGTTCAAGGATAACCCTTTTCTAAGAATTACAGTTGAAGATCCTCAGGAACTTGCTGGTCGCAAGGCGCAAGTGGAGAAGCCCAGGAGAAAACATTGGAGCCCACCTTGCTGTCTTCTCCGTCAGTGAGGGATGATGGGGCACAGCATACCCTTACCAAATCTGAAGATGACACTAAACGAGGGCCTTTGTCTGATGTGCTAGAGGCACCCTGAAAAACTTGAGGACTGGGACAAAAAACCTGATCATATTCAACAAGGAGAAAATTCTGCGTCTGGGGTAGAATGACTCCAAATATCAGTCCTGGCTGGGAAACAATGGTCTGGGCACCATTAAAGGGGTTATGGAGGATACCAGCTTGAACAGGGGACAAGTGAGGGCTCTCACTACAACTACGAGGTGGGTGATGGCAGGAGGATGTGCTCAGCAGATCAAGGGGAGGTGTTACACCTCTACTTGGCCCTGGGGAGGTCACACCTGAAATACTGTGGCTCTTTTCTCAGAAGGGTGCATAGACAGGTCCCAGCGACCCCACCCTTGCAATCTTGTCTCTAAGGGTTATGCTCAGCTTGCAGCCCACTGATTTTTAATCACATTTTCACTTCACATTCACCACTCTACACATGGCAATGCTGAATTCCATCTACGTTTTCTCTTCCAGTCATTCAGAACTGAAAGGTCCTTTTGTAGGGTTAATTTTTTTGTGTCTTCTTTTCCCCAGCCTCTCCTCAATGTGTAAAAAGTGCTTACTATTAAAATTGCTGACATATTAGTCTCCTTCCAGCTTTCAAGTACCAAAGCAGCTCTAAGCAAGAATCACCACTCCTCACGGATGAGCTCTGCAGGTTGCCCTCTTGGTCTGTTGCCAAAGCCTCTTTTACCAACGTTTCAAGTCAAGACAGATCTCAAAATGAATCGCCCAGCCAAAGTCCACCTCATTTGAAGGCAGCTTTGGCTTTCTGAAGGATGCTCTTATGCTTGTAATAACTTGCTTTATCCTGATTTTTAGCCAACGACTATTTCCTCATGGTCTTTTTCCAATAAGTGGTGTGAATTTGCTCCAAACCTCCAATTCTAGGTTCTTAAATGCCTTCCCTGCTACTGGCAAAGACTGTGCCAGTCTATAAAAGCATTAAAAAGTGGTGCCTCTTGTCAAACTTCTCCACAGTTATGTAGGGTTTTTTTAAGGTTTTAAGCTAATACCAGGAAACAGTAGTCTTCCTTGGATTTTGTTGCTCCCAAGAGGATTCTGAATCTAAAGATCACTGCTACTCTTTCTTTGAAAGCAACATAAGGAACCAGTCCTGGAATACAGCAAGAGCAGCTTTGTCCCTTGCATGAGTTCCCAGATGAGGTTCTCCATGGGGCAATCATTAGTGGTATCCAGAAACCTAGCCCTGGTGCTGTGTTCATCTTCATTTGCAAGATGTTCACCTTTGCTGAGGCATTTCCACCCACCTCCTTTACATCCCAGTTACCACTGCCCTCCTGGGTAATGACACAGCCCTTACGTGTGCCATTTCAGACAGGGACGTCATTTCATAGGGAGTCTGTGGATACTCACTGATGTGGTTACTTTCTTGACCCTGGCAATAGCGTGTCATTAGTGTTTCTAAAACTTGTAACTCCCTAATACAAAAGCCACTCAGTCTTGGCTTAGCCTTCATTATGACAGATAAAGATCAGTCACTGGAACAGAAATTGGTGGTTTTCCAAGGCCAGAAATTATGACCTCAATACATTTAATGTGGGCAACAGAGCATGGCCCCAAGCGGTTATAGATATATCTGATGTTTCCACAACAGAAACTTCCCCACAAAAATATAAGCAAAACAGTCAGAGGAAAAAAAAAAAAATCTAGGTGGGGGGGAACTAATAGTGAATAAAAGCACAGAGTTCTCTAAGAATATTATTAGGGAGCCAGAAAGCCCCAGTGCTACAGCAAGCACTTGGGTGGTTCACTGACACCAGAATGAAGCAAAGACATAAGTTAAAATGTAAAAGGTAAAGTGAACATCATCAAACATAGCCAGTGGTTGATGAAGACAAGGAGAAAAGGGGTAATAGAAGGAGAAGACATAAAAGAAACATCCAAGAGTAAGCATGCTACATGCAAAGTTTCTTCAGCTATAGGAAAAAATTCTAGCAAATTAAAAAAAGTAGTAATGGGAGAAAGTCCAACAGTAGCAGAGGCCCATTAATAGACAGAGTTAAAAATTAATAAAGCAGACAAAGTGGAAGCCTTCAATAAGTGCTCCTACTAGATAATTGTAAAGAAGCAGGGTCATGTACTTTCATCACAGGAAGATAATTATGTACTTTATAGTTCGCTAATGACCCAGGAAGATTTATAACAGGGCTATTTGTGAGAATTCTTGGTCAGCAGCCCAAGGGGGGCTCTGAATGGTGCAGCATTTACAGTAGAGTTGGGAGCGCAGAGGAAGAAAGCCCTAAATGGACCAGATTCAGAAGTAAAGCAGTTCCACCAAACACTAATTTGAACTTTTTGAAAGGATCCGGATGTAGATGTGAAACAGCTGCTGCTCAGTAGCTGTGGCTGTTGGACTGATGAAGCAGCAGTGAAAGAGGCAAGCTGGGGATGCAGCAATCCACATCACTGGTAAACTGCACTTGTTCAAAGATGTATTTAGAGGACTAAAAAGAATGCTGCAGGGTGAGGCAGAAGGAAAGCAAGCAGCATTCAGGGGATGAGATATCAGTAAGGCTGAGTGCAAGGCATCAGGATGCCCCAGTGCGCACTTGGGACTCGTGCATGCCTCCAAAGCAAAGTGCTGGCAAACAGGCTAATGCAAGTTTTGGCTCCGTGACTGGCAGATCAGGGAGGTGTTCCAGGCAGCATGACACTGGCACCTCTGGGGCTGCTAAAAACATGGCAAGGGTGAACACCGGGGCTCACGGAAAAACAAAACCCCTTCCTGAATAAGAGACAGAGGCTGCAGTTTCTTTTCACCATTAAAAAGGACCAAGAAGTGAGTTTACCCTGGTACACAAGCACTTTTGAAGAATAAAATGTTTTAATGCACAGAGTTTAACCCAGCAGAGAAAGGCAGAGCAGCAGCAGTGGAAGACAGAAGATGAGGTTAGGTACATTCCCATCAGGAAAGAGCAATGGATTTATTTCTGAGGGTGAGGAAGCACCATCAGAAGGGCTTGGACAGTTCAACTGCCACCAGCTGATGCTTTCAGTGTTGTCAGATGAAGACAGGGTTTCTTCCTGAAAGACATCTTTAGCTTAGGCAATTTGCTGGACTCAGGAAGGGGACGTGGGTGAATTCTCTGGCTCACATTGCACAACAGCTCAGCTAGATGATCTCATGGTCCCATCCACCTACCCTCCACCACTTGATGGATGCGTGGGCAGAAGGCCTGGAGCAGAGGAGCCCTGTGCTGCAACCTGAAGCCACCCTGCAGCTTGGTAAAAGCAAGACAGGCTGGGCCTGGCACAGGGCCACCGCTTCTGCTCACCGTGTGCGTGCCGTAACAGCACCCGGCCTTGCCTGCAAGCTACGACGAAAGCAAAACAAGTTCCTACAGCAGCCATCAACCAGAACTGCCCCCACCTCTGAACAGAGCCCCCGCCTGCTCTCAGGAGCCAAACTGGAGGCAGAGCCCTGCCTGCACGAGAGCTGTTTGGTGCCAGTGGGGCTAAGGAACAACTCGGGGAGCAGGCAAGAACACACGCGGCCTTTCTGAGCCTCTTCCCCTCCCTGGGCTAACCCAGGCAGCCATCTCATTGCTCACCATCGGTGAGCACAGGCAAAAGGCAGCATAGGAGACCAGGCGGTCTGTGCTCTCTGTGTTTCATGGATATTGAGAGGCAGTGCCAGCACGCCTTCCCCACCTGTGCAGAGTCCTCCAAGGAAGCATCCCCAAAGCAGGACAAGGCTAGAGCACCAGAGAAAAGGCATTTGCCCAAGCTCCCTTCAGACTGGCCTGCAGAAGCAGATCCAGACAAACAGGGATTTCCTTCAGCTCAGCAGTTTGTCCCATTGTCCCTGCCAGTGCTCAAATTGCAACAAGGTGAAGACTGATGGGTGGGATGGATGGGGGGGTCATCTCCTCCTCCTTCCCTGGGCAGCATCTCAAGGACACCTCTGAGTCCCCTGTCCCTCTTCAATTAAATCAGCATTCATTATTGATTTGGTTCCACCCTAAAATAGCAATCCCAGGAGCAAGTCCCCAGTAGCCAGCCCAGCCCACTCCAGGTTCAGACTGTGTGGAGCCACTGGATATGGATGGAGAGAGGCCTCGAAAGCTGAGGAACTCTGCTCCTGCCTCAGAGCTCCCCAGGATGGGGGGAGCTCGGTCACCACCCCATGGGACTGGTGGCAGCCACTCGGGGGCTTGTGCAGTAGGAGGGTGAGGGGACAGTCATGAGGTCCCTCCTGCATGTGTACCAGGGCTTCCCCATCATCCTCCAAGGATGAGAGGAACCCAAGGCTGGCACAGCCCGCAGCAGGGCTGTGACCCCAGAGGTAACCCTGCTAAAACAGGTGCAAGAGTGGGTCCATGACGCAGCCTCAGAGACTACCATGGGCACTAGCCTGCCTGGCATCTCCCAAGGATGGAACTGGGAAAAACTATCATTGTGTGAAGCCCTCTGCCCCCAAAGAAGGGTCTCTTTAGACAGAAAAGGGGAAGGAGGGAGCTTTCTAAAGCTACTTCACCAGACAAGAGAAGGTCACACAACAAACTTACTCTGGAAACTAGCAACAGAGAGATCTCCTGGGCACCACAGGCAGGAGAGAGAAAGAGAACAAGAGTGCTGTTAAGACAGAGGCAGGCAGCTCTCCCCACTGGATGGGGCTTAGTGCACACCTCCACATGCTGCCTGCCATGTCAGTCTGCAGCACCTTCTGTCCCCCATCCCCGTGCAGCTCTCCAGAAGCAAGGTCTGGCACAAAGCCTTTCCACAGAAGAGGGGGGTCAGGAATGTATCCGGACAGGCCCAGACTGTTCAAGGGTGAAGCTGGGGATGTGTTTTTCAGCTCAAGAAAGGTACCTTCTCCTCCCCACGTCTTTCTCAGCCACAATAGAGCTGAGGAACCCCTCAGTTTGGTGACAGTGCTGAGAACCAAACTGCAGTGCCAAAGGTAGGACACGCTCTGACAGGGTCTGACAGAGATGCCTGGTTAAAACACTCCCTGCTTGCAAACTTGTCCAGTACCCTGCTCTTTGGGCACCCTCTCCCTCTCACGAGGTACCTACTGCTTGGCACACTCGCCAACTCTTCCCCACAGCAGCTGCTCGCTGCGGACATCAGAGAGCCTTCTCCCAGGCTTATATTTTGGGGTAAAGCTCTGGTAAGGATGCAGCCCTGGGCCTCTCTGCTCTACTTTGAAGGGCAGAAGCCCTCCTTGTGATGGATCTAACCCACCACCCAGCACACAAAAGAGTCATCAGCCAGTGCAGAGAGGCTGCAGATGTCCAGGAAAGGAAATTCTGGCTGCAAAGATCAGGCCTGGATATTTGGCCAGGATCCCCCTACTTCAGCAGCCATTTCACCAGCTGGCCTGGCCCAAAGTAAGGACAGCTGCTAGGGAAGAGGCTGGTCCTCCCTCACCACCCATCATAATCCCGAGTGCCCATGCCCTGCCCCACTCACTCTGCAGGCTGGGGAGGCTGGCATCCTCAGGCTTGGTTTTCAGCAGGTGTGGAAGCCGTGTGTATCTGTACCCAAAGCCACAGCCCTGGTAAAAGTGATAAGGAAAGATCTTAGAGGCTGGAAAACAGTTGGGGTTTGCTGCTACTGGAAAGTGAAATGCTCAGTGTCCAACCAGCCCCAGATGTCGACAGGGGCAGGGACGCAGGACGCTCACCCGCCACAGCCTGACAAGGATCCAGTTGGTCTGTGCCCAGGGTCGCTGCTCATAGGGAGCCAGGAGGTTTTTCATCATGGAGATCCGCCTGCCAGACAAGGACATAGGTCAGCCCAAAGGATCTGGGGACAGGGGATTAAACAGGACATACAGTAGGACAAGTGGAGCTGGGACAGAGCAAAGCCACTGGTATAAGGGTGACAGAAAGCTCCCAAATCAACTCCAGCACCCTGCTGCAGCTTCTGGACCCTCAGCAGTGCTTGGCAGCCCACCTGCTCCCCCACCCAGCCTTGCCACCACCCCAGCCCTGCCCCAGCTCCCTGGGAACAGGCAGGGCAGCACTTACTGGTCTTCTGGGATCCTCTCTACAGCACGCAGTGAGTGGGGGTAGCAGACGTAGCTGGCCAACGCCTGCATCAGGGAGTCACGGATGTCTGAGGAGGAATGAGAAGGGACTAGGCCAGGCACCCAAGGACATGCAGTATACCAGGGAGCACCTGAACAGCAGAGGCTGGAGGGACTGACCCTCCCTTAGAGAGGCACACTCTCTCAGCTGATGTGGAAAGCGTGCTTATGCTCAGGCAGCTAAGGAGTAACCCCAGCCTGGACATGCAAGTAGCTGGGACATGAGTCCTGCTCTCAAAAGTGTATCCTAGGTCATGTATCTAACCCTGGAATAAGCAGGACACACCAGACAAGGGCAGTGTCCAGCCTCTCTTTGTACGTGGAGGCGTAAAGCACTCAACAGAGTCAGCAGATAGGTCTCAACAGAAGTCTGGTGAGCCACTGGCAGTGGGACCAGCCAGACCTGCACCATTATCACCCCAAAGGAGAGGAGTGCAGCTTTACCCGTGCCCACAATCCTTGAGTCAGCAAAATGCTTGGCCAGGATGGCAGCGAGGCGCATCAGGGTCTCTTCGTAGCCTGCAAAGAGAAGGAGGGAGCAGGGGTCATGCCAATGGCCTGATGGGCAGCCCTGTGGTCCCAGCATTCCTGTGGACACAGCACAGGCCATGGAATTCATTCCTGCTACAGCTAACTGCAGCTTTGTTTTGTGTCTTGTTGTCAAAACAGACAGCTGGAAAAACACACTCATCTCCAACAGAACCTCTCACCTCAGCCTGCAGAGTCTGAAACAGTTACTCAAGAGAAAGATAAAACCATGCAATTGAGTCAGACAGAAAGGGAGAGATGCCTAGTGCAGAAGAGGCTGAGCAACACAAATAACACCCTAGATCTGTGCAGAAAAGCCATGTCCAGCCTGCAGGACCTGAAGAAATCTGCTACCGCTCAATTCTGCTGCTCTCAGAACAGCAGGCACAGCCCCCACTTAATGGATGTGAACACTTTAGCTATGTCTTGTTGGTGGGAACAGAAGCTCTTCTTACCTCCACGGGCTCTGGAAAGCACAGAACTATTTGCTAAGAGCTCAGTGGGATCACTTAGCGAGGAAAAGCACAGAACATGCTCAGAGGGAATCCACCTAAACACAGACTCTTGGCATCAAGTGGGTGGTCATCTCCATAGGAATGTATCCAAATCCCAGGGGGGATTTGAAAGCAGTCCCAATTCCTGCACTCATGGCACATCTCCTCCCACCCAGAAACCAGCAGGCAGTGGCACGCATTGCTGGGGCAATCACATCTTCCAGCATCCCATCCCATTCCTGGTACCTCCTTGGAAACAAAATCCATAGCTGCCAGTGATTTTCACTACAGCCAACACTGTGATAGTTTCGGGCAAGGTATGGGCTCCCTGCCCAAGCACAGCAATGGCTACGGCTCACCAGTGGGTACCTACTCAAGGAACAGCACTTGGCGCCTGCCCCACAGCACACAGACAATATACTGCAGCACATCACAACCAGGAAAGGACACAGAAGGGATGACGCCCAACTACCACTACTTCACCATAAGGATGTGGCTTGCTTTAGACTTTATCAGGCCAGAATTAGCAAGGCATCCCCATCCTGTTACCTGGAAGTTCCTCCATGCTGTTTACAGGGCTGAAGTAGTTCTTGAGTGCGCTGTAGCTGTTCATAGCCACGCTGAGGTAGAACTCTGGCATGAATGCGAAAAGTGAGCCCGTCCTGTCGCCATGCTCGATGGTGCGGATGCACACTCGCAACAGCCAATACACATCCTGCATCTTCTCCTGGCCAGAGAGAACACAACAATCCCCATTCAGTTTTGTCCAGCTTCTCTTTGGAGAAACACAACAATCAGCACCAGTCTTAGACCTCAGAAACATCTCCATGTCTGAGTTGTGCCTCAGACCACTGCTCTAAGTTCATTAATGAGATCTGTGCCATTCGGTCTTTTCACAGAGCCACGGAAGTGTCAGGTGGAAGAAACAATCAGAGATCTCTACACCACCCTCAAGCTCAGAACATGACCATCACCAACACGACATCAGATCAGCTGTGGCTTTGTCTCACTGAGCCTTGAAACCCTCCAAGAACTACTCCTTGGTAGGGCATATCTGACCACATAGGCCTGATCACAAAATCTAACATGCTAGTTTTTATTCCAAGTACACTGGCTGAAGGAAAGCAGGCACTAGCAAACCCAGCCTAAATCTGCTGGAAAGAAAGCTGGTCCTTTCTAGGGATTAAATGGGAACAGGCTGAAAGCTGATACCAGCTCAGATCTTTGCAATAGGCAGCCACAGCCTTTCGGATTCTGTGCCAGCCATTCAACCAGATTTACTGTCCTGAGAAACATCAGCCTCTTGCTTCTCTAAGCAAAACTCAGGGGGTCCTAAATTAAAAACAGGAAATTTAAGGGCATCTACATAACTAAGCTATAAAAATCAGCACCAAGAAAGCCATAAAAAGAGAAAATATTATTTCATATCCTGCAATACCAAGAAATATCATAAGCAATAGCAACTTGCTTAAAAATAAGTGGAGGAGAGTTACACTTCTAATAAAAAAAAATTTAAAGTCAGAGGTGCAGATAAGTGATTTCATTTGCCTATGGCTTTTCTAAAGTATGTCGCTCCCATCTTTAGGAGATTCACATGGGTTTGTCCTGTGAATTAGACTGAACTAGTGCAAATCAACTAAACTGACTAAAAGACATCTTTATCTCAACACCGACACACATCTCAGCTCAGCTGTTGCTTTCAGGATAAAAAGCAATTGTGCAGACAACTTTAAGGTAAAGAAAGCTGCATTGGTTTTATTAAGACTTGATAACCCCAAAACGTCATTTCAGGTATTGCCAAGCTAGAAGAAAGCCTACACCAAGAGGATACAAAGATGTGATTACCCACAGTGTGATGGATAAACACAGCATCGTAATAAAATAAGCTGAAATGGTGTTCCCACAGGGATGTTTTGAATGCAGGATTATCTACTTTAAAACTAAGGTGTTTTTAAGCTGTAGCACTCCCTTTCGTCTAACCTTGGATCCCTCAGCTCAGAATAAACTAGTGACTAATTCCCCCAAGGAAGGAGCAGCCTCTCCCATGCTCTGACACCTCAGCACAGAGCAGGACTTCACCTCTAGACAGGGCCAGTCTCTTTCTCTCCATCAGCATCAGCAGTGCCTGCAACTCATACAGATGTGTCCCTCCATTGCACACAAGTCCCAGGGACGCAGGAGTCCCCTGGGTGGATGTCTCCACTGGGAAACAGCAGGGATCTGTGACGGCTGTGAGATGGAGCCCTGAAAGTACAGGCAGTATGGACAAGCTCCGCTGTGCAGCCACATTCCTCTCCAGAGCAAGCTCACTCTGCTCCTGGGACACATTTCACAGCCCAAGCCAGCTAGTGACCTGCTCTCCCTGCCGGCCAGACAGACCAAGGAAGGAGCACAAGCAGGGAAGGCTGTAACCTTCATTCCCAGATGCTGCTGATTCATCCAGAAAGGTGACACCGCACTCCTGATGGAAGGCGGGCACCTGCGTTTAATATGACAATAGATCATCTAGAGACACGAATAGTGTTTCTGCATGGGCCATCGCAGCAATACCTGCAATGCCACACTGGTAATGCCCCTCAGCCTTTCAAGAGCAGTCCAGGAAGAAAGGTTTATTTTCTGGCAAGCACGGGCTATGCTAAAGCAGCTGGAGAGCTTCTGCAGTGCAGGACTATGCCTTGCAGTCCTGCTCTGGGAGTGAAGGAGGGGACGAGCAAAGAGCTCATGAGTGAGGATCAGCCACTGCAGCTCTGCCAGACATGTTCACAGGAACTACCACTCTTCCCCTTCCTGTTTACATCCTGGGACACATGCAGAGACCCTGCTGTCACTGCATGTTCAGGGAAATGTGTCTTTTTCCCCAGCACAAAAAAAGCTACAAGCAGAGATAGGGCAAGGCAATGTGTAAGGGAAGACAGGAAGAGGAGATAAGCGGAGCATCACAGCAAAACTGCTCGTGAGAAAACAGACCAGAGACTTTGTCCTGGAAAACGGTGAATGCAGGGAAAAAGGGACAACCTGTGCAAACAGTCACTGCGTTACTAAATGCAGAATGCACTCTCTCTACGTGGGAACCAAGTGAAGAAGGGGGGAACATCTGAACAAAAACCCCTAGGCTTGGATCCTGCAGATTTCAGGAAGAGCAGCACTAGCGAGAGCTCCCTGTGATGCACAGCCCAGGGAAATGGTTCACAGTAGCCTCTATCCTCTAGACGTGCCCTGAGAACTGAACCTCCCTTTGACCTGCACCCCTCTGTCGCCGGCGCAGAGGCCTGATGCCCCAAGGGAAAGCCTACAGCACCACACACAGCTCAGAACAGACTGGGCTGTGTCCTAACAAACGCTATGGGACCAAGCCTGGGACAGGAGGGGTCCAGGCCTAGGAAGGAGTCTCTGATGCACAAGAAAGGAAAAACAAGCCCCGGAGATCATTGGCATTGCTCCAACACCAGGGAAAATGACACCTGGGACATGTGAGCCAAGCAGCACAGATACAGAAGCACACTTGCTCGGTCTCCTCTGAGCTGCCCACATTATGCTCCTGCCCACCTTTGAATAAATGGTGACGTTTATCCAAGCGAGGCGTCGGCTTAGGTGATTGAGCTTCTCAGAGAAGACCTTTTGGCTCTTCAGCAGCTCCTCGTGGATGTCTCTCCTCTGAAAAGAGTGCAGAGGTGTGAGGGCAGATGTCACTGGCATTTATAGCATCCTTTTTCAGAGCTGGACAAACAATGCAAAAGCAAATACCACCTTGGGGCTAGCTAGGGAGTACTGGCAGGATGGAAAGGGGTCAGCAGCCTTTCTGCAGAGGGAGTGCGAATCAGTGCTATAAAGAGCACTTATCAGTCTCAGCTGCAGCCCACAAGGCCTGATGCAGACACCGGTCCAGTGTGGGCAGCAGCTTTAGGGTCAACTACTGTCAGATATTTTTTTAATGCATCATCAGATACACTCAGTCTCTGGCAGCTGCAATAGGACAGATGCGTCCCCGGTCCAGCACTGGAGAGTCTCCACCCCAGGAGACCAGCTCCGAGGTGTCTGCAGCACATGGAGGTTTGCAAGCTGTCACGGCTTGTCTGGGAGAAGCCGAAGGGGTTGCTTCAGTCCCTCTGTTCCTTGAGGCAGTTGTACAATGGGTTGGCACAGTATGAAATGTGGCTGCCAGCTCCAGGCATGGGTTACTACCCCATCTGAGATATTGGCTGCTCCAAGGCTAGAAATCACCCACTGTGCTTCATCCTTTTTGCCAGATACTGAGGCTCTACCAGAGGAGGACACTGGGAGTCCAGAGACACTTACCCTCTTTGGGCAGCGGCTGATTTTTTCCTCTGTGTCTTTCAGTGCCATGGCATATTCATTCACATCATCCGATACACCAACCATCTGAAAAACAGCAGATTCCAACAATAAATGAGGATACTTTTTTTCCCCAGACATACAAGCATGCAATCAGATCCCCCCCAGGGGTTGGGAAAAGGAAGGGGCACACACAGTCACTAAATAAGCAGAAAACAGAGATTCAGTGTAGAAGCATGGCTGCTGGGGGAATGGATTTCTGCATAGCACATGCCACTTACCTTCCCAAGCTGCTGGTGGACACTGAGGTTGTACATCATCACTATCCCATCCAGGACTTCCAGGAGGGAGTTCTCTGTGATAGGCTGTTCCGGCTCCTCTGGGGGTCTGCCCAGTAAGAGACCCTCATTTCCATGGCTGCCTTCAACTGCAATGCATCCCCAAGACAGGAGAGAAGTTCTCAGCAAGGCATGTTGGCACCTCAGCTTCTGCCTGTACCTCTCTGAAGCCAAAGCCCTGCTGTGCCTCTGTACCACAGTGCTCTTTCCCAGCCTGTGAGATTCACTGGATATACTAACACACTGTTCCCATCTTACTGCCTGGATCAGGTTGACCTGCTAGATCTGTTCCAACAGACCCAGGCCATGCAAGTCCCGCTTCCTCAAGCCCTTTACATGCTTCAGAGGCCTGCGTGGCCCAACCCAACAGCAACGGTGCTGCTACTGCACATATCATCCTCTGGCTGGTCTATGTTCAGAGCAAGCCTGGCTACAGCTGCCTCTGAATTACCGCCCTGCAAAGTCTCACTGCACTTGCAGGAACCAAGGCAGCATCTCCTTAAATGCAGAGAGTGACAGCATCACCAGTGTCATGTTCAGAATGGCAAAGTGTTTAACTGTGGACTTGTGGGTGTCAGCATGCCCTGGGAATGGGAAGGAGCAATGCTGGCAGTAAACAGATTGCATTCCTCTTGAGACTACTGGGAGCTGGAAGATGCCATTCTCCCAGGACCACCTGGGCCATGCTAGCACTCAGCAGAAGTACTCACTGTCCTCCTCTGTCCGCTGCTCCACACTTAGCGTGCGCACTTTGATCTTCTCCAGGGTGCCAAGAGGCCGCCGTGGGTTCATCAGGCTGACAGCCGCCGTGCTGAGGAAGCGGTTGGCACGGCCCAGGGTGGGGGAGCTGAGCCAGCCAGGTCTGGCAAGAGCTCCACCAATGGCCAGGGCAGCAGAGGGACGCTGAGACTGAAAAGAAATTAAGGGAGAAACAGTTCTAGCTGTTTGGCTGCCTGCTATTCTTCCCTTGTACCTGCAGGGATGTTGGTATAGATGCACAGTGTCCACTGGAAGGCGAGCAGGTACCCTTCCTATCATGGCTGGGCCAGCAGTGCCAGGTTAGCAAATGGATATTCCTTCTTCTAAGGGCACATGCCAGGTACAAGCAGCAGATCTGCAGAGCAAGAAGCTGCTCTGTCTGTTGCCTTGCACCCTTTCAAATGCAAGCACCAAGAGCTGCCATGGAGTGGAGAGGGCATATTCAGAGCAGTGGGTAGTGAGAGAGCAGAGCAAAGAAAATTTGGCTGCTCAAACTTGGTGTATCCAGGGCCTTGCTGATCTCCAGTGACCCTCATGCAAGTGCAGCTGTTCACCTGGTCGCCCATGGACTGGTTACAGTCCTGGCCCTGACACTGCCTTCCTCCAAAGCAAAGCTTTTCTAGCCAGAGGCTGAGTTTGCTGCCCTGGCACCAGGGCCTCTGCAGACGAATAACAGTACATGGCTCACCTGTGCTGCCGATGTTGCTGATTCCTCATCTTCATCCAGATCATCCATAGTCACTGCCTGCAGCTCCGCAGGGTCAATCAGGACATTGGCTTTTGCAGCCAGGTCATCTGCACAGAGCACAGCAACGCAGCTGTGAATGCAGGACTCACCCTTTGCTTCCCATGGGGCAGCCCTAGGCTCATCCTCTTCACCGTTTCCCAGCAGTAGAGAAGCAGCCAGTGAAGTTGGATGCTGCATCAGAACAAGCTCACCTTCCCCCCAGCTTCCTTACGTGGAATAGGTCTGCCCTTGCTAACACAGCAGAGACCAAGCAGCAACAGGTACTGCTGACCCAGGACCTATTTCTGTTCCAGCTCCTACCAGCAACAAATAGAATAACTGAAGAACCAGAAGACAACCACCAGGGCCAAACTGGACTAGCATAGGGAAGGAAACTCAGGGCCTGAGACCATTTTTTAAGCATCCAGCTCTTCAATGCTGTCCCATGATATGTCCCCAAGTCACTAGGACTGAGACTCAGACCAGAAACCATTCTCAGCCCAGAGGAAGGCTGCGCTGATGGCCATGCTGTACAAAGCCTGAACTTGTCCTCTAGTCCATAGCCCTGTCTTTAAAGCTAGGCAGGAAGACCTTGGTAAGAGACCAGAGGAGATTACATGGTTCTCAAGTTAAGTAATCTAATTTTGAACAGCCAGGGACCAACTTGAGACAGAGAAAATGGTCCTAATCTTGCAAACACACTGGGGAAGGAGAAGAGATCTGAGCCAAAGGCAAGTGCCGCATTAGCCAGAAATGAGAGACAAACCAAGTCTGATGGAACAGCAAGGGGTTTCTAACCCTTCCAAAACAGAGGCTTTGAAAGTCTATTGCCAGAGTAGCATGCTGCATACAAACGCACAACTGCAGTACATACACAGGGCTGCTACTGCTTGCCCAAAGTGGTATACAGCAAGTAAATCCTGGACATCCTTCTCACCCAGCAAAGCCAGGCTGACAGTCATCGCTTTGACAGCCCCCAGCCCTTGGCTGTGATGCAGCAAGAGCACCACACCAGAGGGTATTTCCAGACTACCCCCTTCCCTCCACCAGCTACAGGCCCCATTCAGGGATATAAACAGTAAACTGTTAACTTAAAGGATGCTCCACCCAGGAGGTATGGTCTCTTCTTCAACGTAACTTGCACCTCATTAAAATTAAAGTCTCCTCTCCTTAAATTTAATCACAGTTCATTACCCACAGCTCCCTCCCTGGGATGTCTCTTGGGTGAACTCCAGCCAGGACCTGGATGCAGGTATTGGAAATGAGAGCACTTGCCTTTCAGAGTCTTCTTTAGATGAGACAGGAGACCTCCAAGTCGCTGAAGGTCAAAATAATCCACCTTCCCATTATAGAAGAGTTGAGGAGGGACATATGCCTCTAAAGCAGAGAAAGAGATTTGTTTTTTCTGCAAGTCCCATGCACAGGATCCACGCAGACATGTAAGCCCTCCTAAGACAGACCCCAAGGCCCAGCCTGGACTAAGATTTAGTGACAACTTTTCTTGTCATAAAAGCACAAGCCATTAAGGCAGAAGTGACTTCCACAATGAAGCAAGCGTTAGATCCATGCAGAAACAGGAGCAACCAATGGCCATCGACAACAAGCCTCCCAGCCCTTCCTCCCTCCCAGCCACAGTCACTGGGGGAAACTGGATCATCAGAAAACTCGGCAGCTCTCCACCTGGCTACTCCAGCTCTATCACTTAGTCCCACAGGGATCATAAGGCACTTATTGAGTCTACAGCAAGGGTCAGCCTAAAGTAAGAAAAGGGAGTGCCAAGCAGATCATGGCAGGACAGGCAAGGCAGGGTCTGAGGGTTGGAAAGCAACTGGCACTGACTTGGTTTCCCCTTAATCCCAGCCTGGGAACACAAAACCAGACAAATATCTTCCCTTAAACTTTGACTATGGGATCACTGAGCTGCCCTTCTACAGACCCATAATCAACACCGGACTCTGCTCCAGAGCATACTGGGGGAAATAACAAACAGTACAGATGCCCCTTTGCAAGTCTCAGGTCTGTGTGTTAACTGGAACAGATCTGCACACAGGAATTTCCCAGAGTGACTGGGAACTACAGACACAGGGTGACAGAAGGCTCAAGCACCCGTAGAAACACAAGAAACACAAAATTTCGAGCATCCTGGAGAGCACTGCCAAAAGGCAAACCTTGTCCTAACCACAGAAATGCCTTCAAAGCTTCTCCTCCGTGCCTTACCTTCACTGCTCAATGCAGCAGGGGTCTTTGCCTTGTGGCCATCCCAGAAGAAACGCAGGGCAGCGATAAGCCGGTGCAGGAAGCATACCATGTACTCCGGCGGGCACAACACAGTCAAGTTCTAGGACAAGAATGAGAGTTCAGTCACCAGGGCAAGTGTGAAAGTCCATCTTAGTCCCAGTGGCCACACGGGGCAGGCAGAAACTTTGTGTTCTTAGCCTTGCCAGCATTTCTAGCTTCCAGCACTGGTAGAGAGCCCAGCCCTGATGGTAGCCAGCAGTTTCCACCTCTAGAAAGTCCTGGGCACTGAAATGACAAGCTGGTCTGACAGAAGTGGATGGATACCACGAGCTCTACCACAAAAGATGGGGCTGATCATAAACAGAGAGATGCAGTTGAAGAAAGGGTTTCCTGCAACAGTGGATGTCTGTCTGCCAAAGCTGCAGGCCAACAGCCTGATCTAGGGCCAGAACAACAGTCCTCACCCAGGCAGCAAAGAGGATGCCAAAGCCAGCAGGCCAGCTGTGCAGAGCACTCCACAGCCATGCTCCCCAAGAGCTTTTAGGAGGACATTCAGCTCCCACCTAAGGCTGTTCCCAAGGACTGCTTTCTTATAAATCACTGCATAGGACTTGGATAAGCTGCCTGGTTTCTAGCCTCAGATCTTCTCTCTCCTCCCCACTCCCTGCCATATCTAGACCTCAACTGATCAACTGCTGGAAGCAGCCCAGCCAAAAGGGCAGAGCTCCCAGACTGAAGGTGCCAAAGAGCTCTCAGGGTGAGGCTTGCAGGAAGGCTGGCCCTCTGACTTACCCCTCTGTTGCTAGCATTTTCCTGAAGAAACTTGCGGAATTTGTTTAGGAATATGTATCTGGAGGCTTCCCCCTGGCAGGAGGAAAAGCAGGTTGTAAATCTATGCCTTACAAGTCCTGTAACGTGGAGATACTGTAGCAAAAGATCCACAGAGCACTTACCCCTCCTCTGTCCTTGTTGTTCAGCAGCAGCTTCAGAATCTGAACCTGAAGACCTTCCACCACTAAAATGGGGACACACGTCTGCCATCAAAAAACAAGCACTGGAGAGCAACTACCCACATTAACCCTGACTGCAGTATCCCATCCCCAGGAGAAAAGCTACCTCCTCAGCAGAGATGGCCCAGGAAGAACTGGTGCCAGTAAAAAGCTAATCCCATCACTGAGAATTTTCTCCTCTGCCACCTAGCAATAAATTCATCCACAGCTAATAAACAATGCCCCTAAAGGAGTTTCAGTTTGCTCATGTCCCATGGTGGGATGCTGCAGGTCTGTGCAGTGGGGTCCCAGCACTTGTGACCCTCCACCAGATAATGACATGGGTGGCCCCCGCCTCTGCGTGTCCTGGCAGAAATACAGCTGGACTTCAGGTCATAAAGGGGATTTGGGAACAGCTCAAGGGCTGGTCCCCCTGGCTGCAAAAAAGGTATGGGATCTTGGCAATTTCCCTCCTTCCTCACAGACCTTCAATGCGTTTCTTGAGCCGCTGGCAGCCTCTTTCATATGCCCGCCGCCTCAGTCTCTCCTCAGCACTCTCCTCCTTCGCCTCCTTACTCTCCTTGCCCTGGTTGGGGGACAGACACTGATTAGTAGGAGATCACTGCACAGGGAAACTGTCTTGCCAAATGGAGAGCAGAAACTCCCTGAAACAATGGACCAGCGTGTGACCACAGCTTGCAGCACACCTGAACAGGCCTTCCGTGGCCTTGTAATGAGTAAGGGCAGGAGATCTTCTGAGGACACCCAAGTCAGTCTGTAATTCCTTAGATACTGTAAGGTTCCCTTCCAAATTTGTTGCCGCAGAAAACTGTCCCCCTCCCCTGTCCTGAACAACACACCCCAAACTTCCCCTCTAAGGGGACAATAAAGATGACACGGCAATGGAGAGGCTACAGCTCTCACACAGCTCTGCAGGGTCCACCAGTGCTAACGCAGCTGGAAACATGGACCATCCAATTTCCTCAGCCAGAAAACGATGGGGACAGCAGGCCACAAAACGTCTTCAGTCTTCTTAGTGGATGTGCCCTTACTCACCTCCTTGGTGAAGCGGTTTGGCCACCACGTGGTGGGAATGAGCTCCTGCAAACCAGCCTCCTCTACACGCAGTGGGCTTTTAATGTAGAAGAACACAACCGAACGGAGCACATCGAAGCTGCGGCCAAGTTAAAGCAAGCACAGAAGCTATGTCAGGAGAAAGGACAGGGCACGTTTCCAGAGCTGTAGTGAGAGACCCCTTTCCAAACAACCACTCAAAATTCTGCAAGATCCAGAGCCCCCTTCTCCTGGGAGAAGCCCCACGCAGTTATAACAGCAGCTGCCTAAATGCTAGCATCTCAGCTAGACTGCTCTGAAAGTGTTTTTGCTCTGCGGACATTAGAGAGGTCAGGTAGAAATGAAGTCCTTTGTGTTAGTAGGATGTGAACTACACGACACTGCTCCCCCTCCTCAAAGCAGGACTTTGTAGAGAATGGTGTCAGGCAGACAGAGGAGACCTGAGAAATTAGAAATGACCTCTCAAAGATAGGGTGGCTTCTGCCTCCCAGGATCTGCAGATCCTTGAAGTCTCCTTGGCTGCATTATTGAGGGCAGGGAGAACTGAGACCAGAGTAGGCACAAAGGATACAGAACATTGCTGAGCAAGTATTTCCTGGATTTCTCATGCTTCAAGACTGCAATGGTGAGCCGGAGGTAGTGAATCTAGGGAAACAGGAGAAGTAAAAGTGACTCCATCTACAGAAGAGGATACGGCTCTCCCATAGGTACAATGTGACAGAACTGCCATCTCTGGATCAAACAACTGCAAAATCCAAAACGTCGTGTACCTTTGGACAAGGGGACATAACAGAAGCTGGCTAGTCACAGATTCCTGGGGATTCAGAAGTGCAACTTACTTGTAATCCTAGGTCTGGGATGATGGGGGAAAACCTGTAAGCCCGCAGCAGGGACATCAATAGCTGCTTGAGGCACTCATGCACTTCATACTCCTGAGAAAATAAGAAACACATTGAACAGCAACAGCATGGAGTCAGGAACAGCTATAGTTCCCAGAGTGTGACTTTGGAAGGAAGCATTTACTTCTGAACTGAAAAAGCAGGTGCTCTGAACCGACCGTGTTTGTCCATCTGACTCCACAGGAAAGAGTCCAAGCAGAATTTGGTGCCATCACTTTGCTACAGGGAAACAAGTCTCTGGACGAGTAAAACCAAGCCAAAAGTCACCTACAAAAAGTCAAAGTCCCAGGTCCTATTTAGTTGGGCTGAGTCACTCATCCTCATCTCCCCTGAACCTATGCAACACACAGTGTTGGCAGAATCAACTCAGAAAGGAAAGAAATTACTCTTGTGTAAATGTGATGATGGAAGAGCTGTCTGTCTTTTTGAGTCCAACTCATAGCCAACCAGCAGGATGAGAGCCAACTCTTCCACAAACACAGCAGTCCTACCAAGGTGTTCATCTTCACTTCTAAGATGAAGGGCCTGAGGGGGTCAGAACATTTTTCAGTTAAACTTTTTGTGACAGCTGGCTGGGCCAGTGCCCATATCTGTTAATTGTTACCACAAAGGACAGACATGCTGTCTCCAAGCAGATCTCTGGCAGTGACTGGCTCTGTCCAGCACTCCAGCAGCAGCAGCTTCCCAGTGGCTATCAAAGGCTGCCTCAAATAAGTGTCCCAGGAAGGAATGACCTCATCCAGCTTGGACAGGAAGGGGCATGGGAAGTTGGAGGAGGTTTTTCCCCAGCAGTGCTGGAGGTGGTCAGAGTGCAGTGCTCGTTTCCACCCCAGTCCTGCACACTCTGATCGATCTCTTGGGGCACATGGCAGCACTTAAGACCTCCACAGTCACATAAGCATTAACAACATCCCAGATACCAACTCATTTCTTATTGATAAATTTGATGTTCCCAGAAGCAGGAAGTTATTCAACATCACGAGTTCCTTTAGCAGTAGGAGAAGCTTAGAAATGCCTTGTTAGCTCATTGCCAGTGTCACCATTACCAATTACTCTGCATTCAACCCTCATTCCCCAGCTGTGAAGCAGCAGCCAGATGAGCTAGGTGAGAGGGAAGTCTACCACAAAAAAAGGGATCTTGTCACCAGAAAGGGAAAGAAGCTGATCACTACCTGCATTTTCTAGGGAAGGCTCCTGTCCTCAGCACCTCCCGGGGTCTCCCTGTGATCACTGGGGAGGAACCAGCACCCTAGCAACTCACCTCCATAAGAAGCCACATCAGATCCAGCAGCTGCTGAATAAGGGGATGGGCCTCCACTGCCCCTCCTCGCTCAAGGATGCTCAACAGGAAGGTCATGAGCACATCTTCCACCAGGTACACCTTGCACTGCAGACAGAGAGCCACGTCAACAGTCCTCCAAGACACACTTCCCAGCGAAAGCTGAGGTTTACCTCCCTTTGCAAGCATAACAGGCACCTACAGAAGCTTGCAAAGGCAAAACTCACCATAAGAGGGGAGAAATAGTTGAAAATATGGGCTAATGTAATCAACACTGTGGGTTCTCCCTGCAGCTGCCACATGGACGTGTCCTTCTCCACCAGCTTCCCCTCCTGCAATGACAAACCCAGAAAACACACGGCTTGGATCCAGCCCAATCCAGCCATACACCAACGACTGAATGAACCAGAGGCCTGGAGCAGCCACTGTTTGCTGTCCCATGCCTGATTTCAGTAAAAACCTTGAATATGGGAATTTATTATGGCAAAGCAGCCAGGCCCATGCCTCTGGAGAGCTGTAGTGCAGTCCAGATGTCAGTTACCATCAGCCATCTGCACGCACCTTGACAATGTTTTTCCAAAAGGGTTCAAGTGTACACGGTAATTTGTAAATGGGAATCCCTACAGAGGACGTCAACTAGTAAAGCAGGCCTCCATTCAAGTCAAGACCATAGCAGATGGCATTCCCTATGCTTTGGGCATAAACAGATCATCTCTCACCCTAGTGGAAAAAAATGGTTTCTAGCAAACAGTGCCACAGCCAAGACAGTTCTCAAGGCAGACCTGCCAGAATTTCATCACATCACTGCACCATGACATCAGTAAAAATTTAGGATATGAACAAGGTCTTTTCAAGACTGGAAAATCAAATCCAGCAGTTCTGACCCTGACAAACATCACCTCTTACATACTGGGAATGAAGCTTCATAGCATTGAGAACAACAAAGCCCAGTATGACTTAAATTAATTCCTGGAATTATCAGGAATCCCATTTTGCAAGCCGAATAGCTCCAGGGACATGCACACCCCATGCAAAACCATGCAAGCATTTAGCCTCTTGGGTGTATCAAAACATCTGAGCTGCCAGCATGTGCTGAGAAGTGCAGAACCACATCTCCCACCATGGTGCCCCACAGATCCACCCAGTGACATTAGCCTACCGTCACATCTATTCCGATATGGATTACATTCTTCAAGTAGCCTAACAGCTTTCGAGCCTTCACTAGGTCTGCAACTGGAGCATCTTGCAAGGGGCGGTAACCTTCCACTGGATAAGTAGGCAAGTGTTAAGGTAAAATGTAATCTGATCCTTTCAGGACTTCTTTTGTTTCTGCAAGGAAAAGACTGTGTCTCTATTTTACTTTATACCCACACGTGCCTCACAGTTCAAGCCACAGTGCCTTCTAAATGGATGATAAGCCACAAGCTCTTGTCTCCACTTCCTCAATATTGCAAGCAGCAAGTATTTCACACCATACTTCTGCTCTCATCAGAAAGACTGACAGGAGCTTCCACTACAGCTATCAACAGGCACACCCAGCACTGCTCTGACAAGGAGCTGCAGGTTTCACATTCACACAGGAATGCAGCAGGCAACGCTAATACCATGTCAGAGGTCCCATACGGCTGGAGGTAGAAGAGACCAGTGGCCAAGAGGCTCAGCAACATGGTAGCATTGGGGTTTCCAAAACTGAAGCGTGAGATCTTTGCAGGATCTGAGTGCCAGGCAACAGGCAGCCCCCAGCTGCAGCAATAGCTGCTGATTCAGAGCTGAAAGCAAATTTCATTTCAGAAACTATCAGGGACCAGCACTGATGTTTGTGTGCCCTGCAGTTCTACTCCAGCTGAGAGGGTATCTGGTTCTTCTCTCCTTGACCCTGCTCTGCACACAAGTGCCAACAGAAGAAAGTGAACTGCAGTCAGGTATGTATATTCTACAGCCTCCAAAGATGGTCTCAGGACAGGCTCTTCTCCCTTCACACCTAAAGGATATCGGAGTGGGCGGCTTCCGAAGTTAAAAGCAACGGACTCCTTGAATGAGAGGCTGATGGCAGGGAAGTAAGCCATTCCAGCGCCCCTTGTGATGTTATCAAAAGCAGTTCCCAGAGATATGCCGTTCCTGAAAGAAGGAAAACCCGCAAGACTTTAGTCACAGTAGGAGGGTTTTGAGGTCAATTGGGCAATCCAGGTATCTGTGTTCCCCTCCCAGCAACTTGCCAACACAGACACATCAGTCAGTCATGCCTTTTGTCCCTCTTAACCTGGCACACATGCAAATGTCACAGCTTTGTTGAGCAGCAGCCATGGGAAGCACAGCAGCACTCCCATTTTCATATGACAGCACAGAAAGGCACTGGAGTCTGCACAACATGCGGAGCCTACTCAGCTTCAAGGGCAACCCAAATCCTTACAGGATAACTAACCAGCAAGATATTTTAAAGGCAGGGGACATTTTTTGCCTCATCCACTTGATGTTGGTGGAAATAGAAGGTTAATGCTCTCAATCTACTCATCTCTAAAAGATGACATGGAGCATCTAACAATTTTTCATTCTGGCTGAATTGTCACAGGCTGTAGTTTAGGGCCAGGGAACAATTCCTATTCAGGCTGGCCTCTGCTCATTGTGCACAGCAATTGGAGGTTGGAGATTTATCGGCCTTTCCACAGCTCCTTGTCAATCTAGGACAGGCAAGGTCTACACTGACCACAAAAGCAATGTGTGTCTCAGCCAACTGTAGTATTAAGCATCACGAGACGCCTTCCCCTTCAAAATCCTAGCAAAGTTTACACAGGCTTTGCAGCTTGAATGTCTTTCTGCCAATTGCTCTCACCTGAACTTAGGAGACTCAACAGCCCATTTAGATGGTTTCTGAACACAAAGCAGAAAGGCAAAGGCTGGAACTACCAAGGAACTTAAAGGGGAGAGGGCAGAAATAGGGCTCAGCAACCTGCTGAACAATGAGGAAACCTTTATGTTACACACAGACATCAACAAAGCAGGGAACTGGGCAAAGATGCTTACAAGCAGAAAGCAATGGTGCCCTCCTCAAGGTCTATCAGACAGCTGACGATGTCTCCTGCTGCCCAAGACTGCAGTAAAGGGAGAGAAAAGGTTAAAAATATATCCAGGGTGTTCCCACATCAGAAGAAACACTGCAACCCAAACAACCCCTTGTGATTCAGGGTTGAAGAAGAGAGTTCATTCTCACAGCAGCTCACATAGCATTTTCAGACACTTCTGGAAGCTGCACATAAGCCACTGATAGAAATCTTTTTTCCCCTCTAGCACTAGGAACATGCACAGGATCAAACGTGTATTTGTCCCAACACTGCACCATCCTCTGACATGCTACAGAGAACCACAGCCTTCCAGAGACCAACAGCAGCACTATGCTGGGAATCAGTCTGCTGGGGCTGCTAAACAAAGCACCCACATAGCATGTCCAGCACCCCTAAAGTACAAACAATTGCTGGCACACAGCCTTCCCAAGAACATACTGAAGCAGGGAGGACAGCTTGAGGGCATTTCATAAGGCCCAGCAGAATCCAGTGAGCAGGAGCAGCCACCTGCTTTCTTCTCCTTACTCTACATCCCACTCCTAGGAGGACAGCTACTCACTTTGCCATAGTTGGTAGTAGTCACATTCCACTTGCGCACTCTGTTTCCATCATACGCATATGAATCTGGCGTATCTCCAACTCCTTCCTGCACCGAAGTATGAAAGAAGTGACTCAGACCAGAACAACCATACAGCATCCCTCTCATTGCGAGAGCAGCTTTAAGGGGGAGACCAGCAGACAGGGAGTGCAGCTGACAGTATGCATGCTCTGCCTGGGAAAAGCCCTCACTCTAGGAGTGAATCTAGTGGCCTGTGATCTTTGATTCAGAGAATTACACCACTCCCTACTAATTTTTGGTCAGAAGAAGAGTACTGGCATCCTACACTTCCAACTTCTGTCAAAGCAGCCCCCCAGGATGTCCATCACCTCCCCTCTCACATGTTGCAGAATGGCAAGTTAGTGAAACTCTGCAGCTGACATCCCTTCCCAGCATCAAACATCCCACCCGGTGCCTGAGAAGAGCTGGCCTGGGTCTGCCTCTCCTGGGCAAAAAAGCCCCGTAGCACCAGCTCCTGAGGGCCATCCCAAGAGACAGGATGCCAGCACTGCAGACCCACACACTCTTCAGAGAAGACGCCAGCTGAAAGTCAACACATAGCAGTGGCTACGTGCAGCAAGAGCACAGCAGCTCACCCAGTGTGTAAGGCTTTCACGCTGTGCGCCATTCTGTGAACACAGATCAGAGAGTCTAGTAAAGATTTTTAAAACAGCAGACCTGGTATTTCCAGTGTGTGTGCTGGGCACAAAATGCAAGCAGGGCAGGAGCACAGCACCAGTGCGATGCTCCACACTGACCTAAAAAGCAGTGGAGGAACACAGAGCAGCCCTGTGCCACATGCAGCAGTTACACTACCTCCTGATTAAATCTACAGTTGAGAGTACACCAGCCAATCTGCATGAGTCCTTGGGAGGAGATGAGCACCTCGTAAATCCACTTCCCTGAAAGAAAAAGAGATGCCACACAGTAAATCCTTGCCACCTGGCTCACTGTTAGAGAAGCAGAACCTGACACTGCTCCCGCAGAAAAGAATGTGGCACACAAAGGTGCTCTGGGACAGCCCCAGCATTCCCCTCCCACCTCTTCACTCCGGCATCACACAATCCTTCATCCTTCTGACTTCCTGAAAAAGCCAGTGGATGAACTGGGGAAGAGGGGGCTCAAGGTCTGGAACTACAGCACATTCAAGAACTTTCTAGTTGTGTAACTCTTCACACACTCTTCCTGGGGTCTTTTCTCAAAGCATCGCCTGCTTTTCTCCTTACCTTTATACACACATGTTGTGGCCCTGATGGAGCCAAAGTTACTGTGGCCAATCACCTGGACCAACAAACAAAAGATATTTTAAAGTCAGACAAAAGACAGTTTTGCTCAGCCCTACCCATTCCCTCCATCCTAGCCCTCAAAACCAAAGCGAGATGGAGAGCTATTCACAAGCACAGTGTAGGGAAGAGACAGGACATCTTCCCCATCCCAGCAGCTTTACTCGGAGCCAACAGGCCCTGGGGAACCATCCAGGTCCTCCTCACAGCTCATCTGTACTTGATAAACCCCAGTGAAGCACGCAGCATGACAGTAGTACAAAGGCAACATGGTGACAGACAGGTTCCCAGTGAATTGTGACAGGTATACAAAAGTGACTATCATGTAGGAAAGATGTCTGAATCCTGGACAAGTTAGAACAAAACTATAGATTCAGGGTGCCCAGACTAAAGCCCAGGACTAGCAGGTAACACGCTGTCCAGAAACTGAACCCTATTAAATCCTGACTCTCTCAATCTCAGGACAGACCATGAAGAGATGAAGGTAGCAACAAGGAATTCACAGGCCAGCGTCTGATCTGATATGAAGGTAAGTTCTAGGTACAGCCAAGATAAGCTATAGTGGGTGGTTAACAGGAAAGGGGAGACCAGGGCAGCCTCCGCTGGCAGAGGTGAAAAAGGATACATAGATTAAGGAGGGAATGAGCACAGGAGCATGGGATGTGCACGCTCAGTGAAGGGGTGAAAGGAGTGTAGAAATTAAAATACTGAAGTAGGAAAGCATTAAATTCCAGCGGACTCTTTCAGCTGATTTTCTGCATGAGGAACATCAGCTAAGGAGCAAGCAGGGAGCTAGGGGAAACAAAGGAGAAAGGAAAGCCTCAGCTTCAGTCTCTCGCCACCATTAGAGAAGACCAGAAGGAAGGAAGGAAGAGGCAGTCTGCTGGAGGGAGGGACAGGAAAGCTGGCTGCTGGCCTTTCCTCTGCTTAGCAAAGCTCTTCAGTGAGCCCCTGGGCCAGGGTAATCCTTTCACTTCGTCGCAGCTCCACTCAGAGCTTGCTGAGACTGAGGGGTACTGCTAGACCTTTTCCCAGGAGAGCTCATTTCCTCCAGGATCCTGCAGCTTTCTGGGTAGACTCCCTTTACAACATGCTACAAAGCCAGTGACAGGGATCTGTTATGAGGAACAAACCAAGAAGCCCAAAGTGCTTTTAGTCCCAAAAGACCACTTTCTGCTGCACCCAGCATCACACTCACCCCAAGTAAGTCATCATCAACCAGCAGGAGTCCCTCAAAACCGCTCGTGTGGTCCAGCACCACAGTAGACGGACCAAGCCGGCCCTCTACTACCTGATCTGAAACAAGAGTTGCAGAAAACCTGTTAGGGAAAGTTATGCAGGATTTAACAGTACACCTGATGAGCGCCTCCAGCTAGACTACAACAGCACCTGGATTCTGCTACAGTGGAGGAAGACTAAAATAATGTTACCCGTGTTACACCATAAGAACCGCAGCAAAGGAGACACCAGCAAGATTTAAAAGGAAGTTTTCACAGCAACACACAAGGTCTTAGCTAGGCAGCATTCAGGTCATACGTTAAGTTTTCCACATTGCCCGAAAATTTTGCTTTCGCAAAATTCAAAGACCAGACTGAACTCTGAGCCAAATGTTTGGCTGACATATCACACTTTGATTGCAGCCAGCAAGAAAAATTATTCTTTTTAGGAGAGGATCTAGGTTGTATCCTGCCACATCCTGACTCATTCAGGGAAACGGACGCTAGCAAGAGTACAGGCAACAGCCTGAGGCCTAAAGTGAATACCTACAGTGGGGACCAGTATGTAAAAATTGACAACAAGCCTCTGCATTTCCCACTGAGGATAGCACTTCACGCTGCTGGTCACAGCAATGGCTCTGCATATCATTATCAGTGAAATACCTCCAACATTTGGCCCAAACCTGCTTTTCCAGGCATTTTCGCCTGGAAATATGCCTCCTCCATCTGCAAGCAGACCTGCTCCAGGGCTGACTGATGAGCTCCTCACAGGCAGGATTTAAAGGTATGACAAATTAGAGCACAGGAGGGCAGAACAACGCTCACTCAGGGAACTGCCTTTCATGATACAACTCGTCCTCCCAATTAGGCAGCACAAGCAGCAGCAAAAATTGGACAGACACTCAGTGCCTCCTACCTCGACTGTCTTCGGAGCCATTCTCCTCTGCTAGCAATCGATCAAGGTGCTCCTGCAGGTTCTGGAACGTCAGGTGCTTTCTAGGGAATAAACATGCACAGAAGTCTTCAGAAAACTCCATCTCCAAAAGAGTTTCAGCCCAGACATATGTGCCCGCACAGTCCTGTGCTGTGAGACATGAACCGTGAAGTTCTGTCGATCTGTGTTTCTTGTCATGAACCCGAGGAATTTGTTGCCCAGCATGTTGGGGCAATGAATGAACCAAATATAGTGTCAATAAGCAAAGTAGTTAACAAAGGATCTTAAAGGCTTCAGTCTGCTCAGGAGTATTTTGTGGCAGTAAGAAAACTGTACTGCGGTACAGTGGCAGTAAGAAACCAGCTGTACTACCAACAACTGTGGACCACGACTTCGCTGCAGTCAGCATCATACAAACACAGCATAAGTCAGGATCCTTTTTTTCCCCCAAGTATTTCATAATATAAAAGAAGAGAGAAGACCATACCAGCAGCTGGAGCAGTTCAGACAAAGGTCAGGCTAGCCCAGCACCTTCTCTCTGACAACAACCAAAACCACTTTGTTTTCACACTGAGGAAAAGTCTCTCACACACACCCTCTGGGCCACTATTTTAGAGAACTTCTTCATACTGCCCTCCACTAGTTCTCTCTTTCCAAAGCTAGTTTACTTAGCTGTTTCTTGTACAAGAGCCATTCCATACATCTGACTTGCTCTTACCCTTCCTCAAAACCTCTGTAGCTCTAAAATACCCTTTTGGAGTCAGCGAGACCAGAACCACATGATACTCGAGACGAAGGTAAGCCACAAATTTATTCAGTGGCATAATGATTTTCCTTATCGTACATGCCTTTCCCAACAATTCCTAACTTCCTACTTTATTTTTCTGACTTAGTATTCCCACCCCAATCTCTTTCCTGTGCTGTAAAAATCAGCCCAGGGCCCATCATTTTATGCACAATGTTGAGGCTGTTCCCCTTTCAGTACATTACTTTGCATTTCCCTACCCAGTCACTGTTACAGCCACCTTACCCTTACATTGCTCTAAATAGCTTTGTAACAGCAGCAAACCTTCCCCCTCATGCTCTCTCCCTTTCCAAGTCTCCCAAGGGTACACAGAACAACACAGGTCGTGTTGCAGGTCTTTGAGGGACCCCAGCAGGACCTCCTTTTACTGTAAGAGTTGCTAGTTGTTCCTATCCCTGCTTCCCATTTCCAAAGCCATCTGTGGAACAACTTCCCACTTCTTCAGGACTAGGGTTTTCCCCAAGACTGTGGTGAAAGACCTTTTGAAAGCCTGATGGATGTGAAGATGCACAGAAGTGGAATCAAAGAATCAGTTTTGGTTGGCAGGAGAGAGGATGGGTTCAGCAAAGCAGCTTAATCAGCAGCTAGCATGGAGGAGGAGTTCTAGAAGGAGGTTAGAAGAGCACGAGGCAGCCAGAGAGGTGTCTGCAGCGAGCTCCTCTGTGAGGAATTTAGGCCTCCGAAGACAGGATGTCATACCATAAAAGTTGCTCTCATATGGCCAATGTTATTTTCAAGACCTATTTGACTGCTGCTGGGCTTTCTACCAAATAGCCAAGTCCAGGGAAAAGGGTGGAAGGCAGGGAAAAAATAGAGACCAGTCCAACAAACCATCAATATCACCAGGCAAAGAAATTAGAAATACTGAAAACCAAAATGCTCAGGTAGGTGGAATATTCCAAGGCATGCTGGCAGGAGAGCTCATGGCAAAGTAACACGACCCACTTTGCACTCCCCTGCCATAACCCTAGCTCACCAAGAGCAGAGAGGGCCAAGAGCTATTTTTAGCAGCTCTGAGCTCACATTTGAGCTGGCAGTACTAAGTATAGCCCATGGAATGTGACCCCAGCCACTCTGCAGCACTTCCAACCAGCAGGAGCTACACGCCTGCCTTGCTCTACCACACTCGTACCTGCCCTGAACCTGTCTGACTTGCCTCTGGCAAAAGAGCTAAATGCAAGGGAAATTTTTCTCATCCACAGCTACAAGTTTCTGGGCTACAATATGAAGGAGAACTGAAAACAAATAGAAGAAAACAGACACTAACCAGGAACTTTCTGTTTCTTTTCCTTTGGTGACTCGTAATAATAAAAGTACTAACAGTTCCACAGCCTGAGAAATGTATGACATTCCATATATCAGTAATAGCCTTGCTTTAAGCTTACAGGGCACTGACAACCTATTTTTCATTCCTGTACCTAAAACCTGTGCATGTTGCGCTTCCTTACAAGTAAAGGGGGAACAGGAATAATAAGGTGAACGCCTACTTGCCTATTTATTTCAGAAATATTGCCTAGTGATTTTGTGTATGGGGTTTTTCATGCAAAAAATTCTGAAGAATCCTTCCTAGCAAGCCCTGCAATTTGGAAAAGCCATTAAAGCACAAGACCTAAGAGTAATTTCTGTAACACGGGGCTGCTGTGCTTTTAACAAAGATCACTGTGTGGCACTAAAAGATCTTTCCTTTCACCGCAGTGCTGTATATCTGGTGACTGATACAGCATCGCTTGCCATCTAGTGAATGAGAAGAAGTCCAATACCTGTAAGCAGCTGCAGGCTGGTTCCCATCAGCATTGGTAAAGACGCGATGCAGATAATCATTCAGCAGCCTGCTGTTCACAATCCCTTGTGAAAAACAGAAAGGAAATAAGCTTAGGGAGTCAGGAGATAAACTCAAACATTAATTTCATATACAAGCAAGAAACTGTTAACTATGGGAAGATGACGTTCAAGTCTGCAGATCAGTACAGTGGAAAACACAGCTTCAAGAAGTCATTCATCATCTTACTGTCTTCACTAGCAGCCCGGGAGTCCAGCATTATGGGGTGCATCTCTGCAACAAGGGCTCTTTCAATTTGAGCTGCTCTACAATAGAAAATGGGAGGCTATAAATTGGTATCCACAGGTGGAACTACATCCTCAGGAATCCTGCTGTACTAATTCCAGATAAAGCAGCTTCAAAAGCCGGAGGTGGGAATCCAATTTCATTTAAAAAAAAAAATAAAAAAAAAATCTTATCACTATTGCAATTCCTGATGTCCTATTCATACCTGGGACATTTTAAGTACCTCCATCTCTTAACTGCACTATAAGATGCTGAAATAGAAAGGTTTGCAGATGCAGCTCATGTCATCTTACCCACAGTCCTCTTTAATGATGTATGCCTCACTTTAGCTTTCATCGTGCAAAACAATCCTGTGTCACATTGATGCAGCATGCTTTATTTCTGGGTGCAACAGTGCCCTCAAATGCCAGATTTATGGTCTCATAAGCACACTTCTGCTGGATTAGCAAGCCCAAAACGAAACAGACTGCCTAGCAGGTACCAAAACTTCCCAGAAAAGGATTAATCTGAGAACTTGACAAACTGTTAATCCTGGAAGGGGAACTCCCTGAATCAGATGGGACAAAGGCAGGCAACACGACATTCTCAAGCCTCACAAGGCAGGGCTGTGTGCCAAAGAAAGGGCACTGTGACATGAGCTTCTGGAGTCCTTAGTACTACAGGAACATCCCTCCCAAAATCTCATCTCAGTTCAGGGATTTACTCAGTTTCAGCCCCACCACACCTCACATCAGCAAGGTAACTGCAACTGGAAGGCAGCTGATCTCAAGTGAGGCAAGGGGCGCTCACCCGATCCACAGTGGTCCTGCTTTTACACGGCACATACAGGCCCATACCTGTGACCTTGGACTTCTCTGGCTCGGTGCTCAGCCTGTAGTTCTTCCTCGAGAAAGTAGTCCCAGCACCTCTTGACGTCATTCTTCACAGGCACCACTTCCAGAGCGGACATAAGATGGACAAACGCCTAAACCAAAACTTGCTGGGGAGGATGCTGCCTTTAGACTTCTCCCTTTCTTGGAGGTTGATGTACCTGGATTGAACAAGGAGAAGCCAAAAAATAGCCAGAGTCCTCGCGTTAGCAACATCATACAAGAGCCCAAAGCCAACTTCCTGCCAACCCTGCTCTCAGTCCCACCTGTCCAACAGCTCAAAATCTTCCCAAAGTAGACAAGGCATTAAGCCACACTCCAGACAACCACATAGACCCCACTCCAACCAAAGGCACAGGCAGAACCAAGCCAGAAACACAGGCAACCTTTGCACCAAGTTTGAGCCAGAAACACTGAGCCAGTACAGGGTCACGACTACCACCACTGCCAAACACCGCCGAAACTGGCAACCACACTGCACTTCTACTCATGCCCTGATGAGACATTTCTGCCTTTCTCTCCCATGCTGTATTCATTAAGACAGGAATATGCACCTGGTTAATCTTCGGTTTAACAAGTTTATTAGATTATTCCGCTATCCAAAACAGAGAGAGAGGGAGAAGGAATGAGACAAATGCAGATGAACTGGACTACAAAAGAATACAACTGACTACAAAGCAAAAGAGCCAGCTGTTGGTTTTACAGGGATAAAAGCAGATGCAGGTAGAAGTACGCAGAAGTGTTTACAGGTAAAAACCTACCATGAGACTAAAGATTCATGACCCTTCCTGGTATCACCAGAATGCAAAGAAAGCTATCAGAGCTGATCTGACATGTGCCAGGACAAGAAGAATAAATTCAAGTTGCTAGTTCCATCCAGCTTCAAAATGTTAGGTTACAGCCCTCTTCTACTTCTGATTGCCCCAACAGCTGACCTTCACTGGAAGTCTCTCTCATTCACTAGACAGCCATTTGACAAACTGCTTTGCGACAGGAAGATGCAACATGAGTAAAGACTGCAGGAATTAAATGCTTGCTGGCAGTCTCGTACAGAGCAGAAACTAAGGTGAACCCAAGAAAAGTTAGTGAACTTGCTAAGTGACACAAGTGCCATGGCAACTCCACTGGCAGAAGATCACTTGAGCTTCAGCTAGACTCGGGAAAGGATTTCCTAATGCCCCTTTCCTTGGGGCCACCCCAGCATCCAGCAGTGGAGCAGCACTGCTCGGCATCCCTCCTGCAGCACTGCCAAGTGAAACCACAGGAACAAAGCAAAAAACAGCCTCGATCAATGGCCCTGAACGATCTGCATCAGAGACTCAAAACAAGGAATAAACAATTAAACTATAAACAGAAACACATCATTTACTACCAAAGCAGAGCAGACAGCACAACGTGTACTACCCTAAAAGTACTCTAAATACGAGAGACATGATTTCACCTCTGTCAGCACAAGTTAAAAACACCCGAGGATGGCGGGGAGTGCCCCTAGCTCTTCCCAAGGGTGGCCGGCCTGGTACCCGCGCTGCTGAAACAGCCTGAATGCCCAGGCAGAGAGTGCAGCACGGCCACACGGGCACTGTACGAGATTCACTGCTGGCACTGCTGAACTGCCAGGGTTTTTTTCCCTTGGAGCAGATGCTGCTTTCAACAGGTCAGAGAAAGGGCAGAGCAGGGACACACACATCTGCCCCTTCGTTACTCCCACGCACGATTCACAAAACTGGCCCCAGCAGCTCCGGCAAAGACATCCAGCTCTGCGCCGGGCCATGGGTTAAACTCTCGTCTCTGGGCAATGATAGATAAGCAGCTTCCAGCAGAAGGGCCGAATAAACAACATGGGCGAAGCCAGATCTTAAACTGAGCCGAGCGGAGGCAGGCAAGGAGGCCGAGAGCTGGGCCAGCAAACACAGCTTCATCCAGCAGCTGCTGACCGAGCCCTTGCGCTCTCGCCAGGGCAGCGGGGATGAAGCTGGCGGGGAGACAGCCAGCCAGCCGGGCAGCAGAGGCCCCCACGCCGCTCGGGAAACTCCTCTGCGTTGATCACAAGCGCAGGTCTCTGTGGCACCCCCAACCTGGCAGCACCCCCAAACCAGGAATACCGGGCAGCATAGCCCAAATCTAGGAACTGACCCTAAAACCAGGCACATCCCACAGCCGCCAGCACCCCCTAAGCTGCTGGCATGCCCCAAGCCCAGAGACACCCCCAAACCCAGAAACACGCCCGAAGCTGGGCGGCAGTCCCTGCAGCCACTGACACCCCCCCCAACCTGGCGGCACCCTCCATGCCCCACAAACACCCCCAAACCCCGGGTCGCCCCTACACCTGCCCACAAACCCCAAAGCCCAGACAGCCCTGCCCGGCGCGGAAGAACCCCCAATCAGGCGCCTCCCCCCCAAAAACAGGACGACACTGCCCGAGACCACCCTGCCCGGCGCCCAGCCCCGCG